CACCCTATAAAGCGGGTGTCACCAACTTCAGTCCTCGAGGGCTACCATCCTGCTAGTTTTCTGTGTTTCCTGCTCTACCACACCTGAATGGAGTAATTTAAACCTCTCCTTAACTCTGCACAGGTCTGTTAATTACTCATTTGTTCCAATCAGGTGTGTAGGAGAAAAGAAACAGCAAACATGTGCAGGATGGGAGCCCTCGTGGTTCGGAGTTGGTGAAAACTGGTGTAAAGGGTCGTTTTAGCACATACTTTCTCCAGAAAATTATTTAAAAATATTTTTTAAATGCACAGTATCCCTTTAATATAGAGTATTTATTATGCAGATATTAGTGAATGTAAAAATGCATTTGAATAAAATTCTATGCTAGCACCATGCTGTCTGAGGATGTGCCTGACTTTAAATCAGCTTTACTAAGGACAAACATCGGCCCACGCCAATATACAAAAAATAGATAGTAAATATCAGCCCGGTTGGTCTATCCCTCCTATTTAGAAAGGTATTTTTCCTATTCTGTATATTGCAGCTGTGGTGACAAAACTTTTGTAAAGATATTTAGTTAAAGGGGCATTATGGAAGTTTGACAGCCAAAACATGTATAGAAATGATAAATTTCTTCTTCATACATTCTCCCTTCAATGCCCTGGTCCTGTAGAATGAGTCCTGGCATTTTTACTGTGATTGCCTGTTTTTCTGTAAAATCACAGAAAAAGAGAGGTGCTCGGGTCCAGCAGGCCACTTCATGTGCGTTCACGCTCAGGCATCGCCCGTAGCATTTGCTATCTGTAGCTTTAGCAGCAGAGAGAGAGGTAGTGCCAACTCAGCAACTTTGTCACTGTTCCTAACGCCTAGTGATGAACCTAGCTACATTTCTGAGGACCCTTAGCTACTTTCTTCTAGATATGTCCTGCAAATTAGCAACAAAATAGCCGTTTTCACCCAAGCAAGCCTTGGGTGAAGATTCTTCTTTTTGTTTTAGTTCTTTGTCACTACACAGGGCAAATTTCTACTTCACAAGCTGTGCCAAACAAACTAAAATATCCCATAAAACTTACCTCAGATCTGTCATATTTTCCCATTTAGAGAGAAAGGATGAGTAGCTGAAGAGTATGATGTATAATATGTGTGTGGTGCATAACAGTTGTGCCATTAAATGACTGAAAACCACAAATGTATTTTTATTTGACCAAAACAAATGAAATAGCTGGCCAGGATCACAGAAAGTTTAGTTTCAAAGTGCTGCAGGTAAAGGTCTGTTACATCTAATTTGGTGACAGCTAAGGACAGAAATTACAGACTACAACCAAATGGTGAGTCACAGGATGGAAAAATGCTGACAACACAACCCAATTAGGTGATTCAGCTGTTTATGACCCAAAACTAGAACCAGAAATAGCTAAAGTCAAAAGAACAAACACAAAATACAGACCTTTTTGTGTTTTATTCTCCAAGTTTCAGATACAGAACAACTGATTAAATTACATCTAGTTCTTTAAAGTGAGTTGTAATTGGCCAAAACCTGTAACTGCAAATCAGAAATATTACGGATAAATTAATTGTCATTTTAAAGGTTCGCAATTTCCACCATCATCACTGAACAATTTTATAAAAACACAGGATTGCATTATTTCTGAATATTGCAATGGCAATACTGGTTGTCACAAACCCATATTTTCCACACTCCTCTCTTTGTTGACTGCCATCTCAACACTCCCAATACAGTGAGTGTGTGTTTTCATCTAAACCAGGTGTGGGTGTGGAAGGCAAAGCGAGTCCATCAGATTAACTTGCAAATGCATGCCACTTGGATGTAACAGTCAGTGATTTATTATAATCCATGTAGTTCTTTGCAATATTGGCATTGTGCAAACTTGTGACATACTGTGCAGCTCTACAAAAAAAAAAAAAAACACAAGGATCTTGTGTAACTTTTACCAATTGAAACCTAAAAGCCTTGATACCCCTGCAACCACCTCAGCTGGCAGCAATAATGCTGAAGAGCAAGTCACCCCCAAAGCAACTTTACTGTCTAATTGCACTGTAGACGCGTGTAGTCCATAATTTCGCACTTTAGTGCATCTTAGTTAAAAAATAAATATTCTGTCTAAAACTGTCATCGCCCTCTTCAGGTAAAAACTCGGCACTGCATTTGAATTTCAATCTGCCATTGCTGTTGGCTAAGACGTACACTATTACGTTAGCTGGTACATTATGATGTCACAATGTTGTGAGCCTGTGTGTGCATATTTGCTAGCGGCTCTACCCTCTCGGTCTGCCAGGCAACAGCATTTGTTGCATTTTTCAGGAAGTGGGAGTGGAGTGAGAGTCTGGAGTGAGACCCCCCAAATCAAAATTTTTTTGCTTATAAACTAAATAAACGAGTGTCTAATCGTGCTGCAGACACGTGTCGTCAATAATTTGGCATTTCAGTGCATCTTAGTTAAAATTCAAATATTCTGCCTAAAACTGGCAGTGTTGTGCCGTTGTCAGGTAAAAACTCTGCACTGTATTTTAATTTAAATCTGCCACCGCTATTGGCTAAGAGGTATGCTATGATGTAAACTGGTACATTATGATGTCACAATGCTGTCGTGAGCCTGTCTGTGTGTGTATTTGTTAGCAGCTCCGCCCTCTCGGTCTGCCAGGCAACAGCATTTGTTGCATTTTTCAAACATGAAGAGGGAGTGAAGTAAGTTTCTTGTACGAGTTGACTTGCTCTTTAAGAAATAGTTCCGAACATTCAGCACGTGAACGTGGCATGTCTGATCACACCGATTGTGACTTAAGCTGATAAAATGACAACCCAAAACAAAAACATTTGTGGCTCTGAAGTCAGTCTTACCTTGTGCTAAGATTTTACGTGGGAAACAGAACACTTTTTTTGCTAATCCATCCCCCTGTCCCAGGTCTTATCAACCCTGATTTTTCTTGTGATGATGAGCACACTATTGCTGCACATTTGGCTATGACAAACCTGACTGAGTCACAACAGACGGTACCAGTTGTTGCTGTGCTGCAGAGACTGAAGGAGCTCTGGCTAATGTTTCAGTTCAATGGGGAAATTACAGTTTGCCCTCGGGAGAGAAGGCGAGGAAGAGGAGGTGGGGAGGGGTCAGCGATGGTTCCCCATGATCAAAACAAGAGGAAGCATTCACATTGGCATTGCCGTCTTGTCCTACTTTACATAGTCAGAGGAAGAGAAATGGACTTGATTAGGTCCAATGAACATCAGAACCACATCTTCTTGTCTTCTAAGCCTTTACATGAACAATCCAACATGTGTGGAAAGGGTAAACAAGCTCTCCCATCTCATCTGTCCTCTGGCAAACACACTCAGGAGAGACAAGGGGAAAAAAGGAGGAGGAGGAAGACGGACAGACTGAGGCACTTAGCTGATAAAGAAAAAACACTTCCGTCCATCTCTGACTGAAGGCTCTGGGAACCAGTGATCCTGGCCGTGGGGAGCGGCTGCTTCAGCGTGATTAATTTTACAGGACATGATGGCCATTTCATGTCAGAGATGTCACGTCATTTACAAATTCTTAAAACTCACCCTGTTCTACATGTACGCCCCATTTCTGACTTACATTTATTCAAATGAGAGCATTTTATTTATAATACTCCCTCTGATCAAAACATGTCTAAAGTCTCCACTCACTTTTACACTGAAGGCATTATGAAAGTAAAATAACCTTTTGGTCTTCTTGAAGTCGATATTCACCTGGAAGCCTCCATGCAAAAAAGTTCTGCGACATAACTCATGAGTCGGTGTTCAGGGAACACCTTTTCAACTAGTGAGACATGACAAGCAGTCGGAATTACCTGAAAACAGGCAGGAAAACATTCCTGAAATGTTCCTAGTATCAACACCAAACAAGATCAGGAAAGGTGGGAGTTCACTGAAGGCTTTAGTTCCAGATTAGCCAACCCTTGATTTTAGGAAGCTGTCTGTACATTTAATGTCTGCTGACTAAAACAGATGAACGCATGAATAAATAATGGAGACAATAACATAGCTGCAGCCAATTGAGCCAAATATTTTGAATGACCCAAAAACAGAACATCATGTTTATCACCCATTTGCCCCCATTTATGGGATAAAAATATTTAATTTTGCTACAGCCCAGTTAGATGTTGCAGCTTCCTTTATGTTTGGTGGATCAGCAAGTCCACCAGTAGCTCAGATACTAGGGCTTTAGGATTAAAGTTCCTCCTTAATAAGAAACCTGGATCTCTTTCCTCCCAGAAATTAGCTGGAACAGCCCCCCCCAAAAAAAAACTATCTGCTAATAAACTATTAGCCACATAATTAAAATTCTATTTCCACGGGATTAAACACCAGTTGTCAGCAAAGCTGCTTTCAATGAAACGCGGGGTGGGGTGGCTGCTGCCTACGGGAGTAGCAGCTGTCAAAACGGAATCTTTGCTTGGGGAGAAAATAAAAATAAAGACATAACCTAATTAAAAACCAGCCAGAGTTAGCAGGGCGATCCGTTTCAGGTGGTTTCTGGATTTGTGAATGGGAACGTGGATTGACTTATTTTTAAGAGGACTCAGTGACAGACAGCGGTAGCTCCAGTGCATGTGGCCTGATGAATCAAAACAGGTGCTGTTACAGCTCCATTTTGGATTTCGATGGATTGTTGGCTTTCTTTTTCAGAGCAAACTCGTCTCATCGGGTCTTCTCTGAGCATCTGGCGTCGTGACGAAGCCACGATGGCGATTTTTACAAACCTTTTGTTTTTTATGGTCTGTAGTAAGTCCTAAGGGGCAAGCCCCGGCTCAGACTGAATCATTGCACTGGCCGTGGTCTCTGAATGGCCTGTGTAACAATGAGCGTGTGTGTGTGTGTGTATGTGTGTGTAGGGGACCACAGCATATATACATGTGTGAAAACAGACTAACACCTAATTGTTAGCTCGCGGTTGGCCCCAAAACTGTAAACAATCTCCTCGCCAGGAGAGAAAAAGCCGCTACATGCTGTAATAAACTAAACCTACCTTTGACGCGTCTTGTGATTCAGCCCCCCCAAAAAATAAAATAAAAAAATCAGAGAAGCGCAGCGAGGAGCCCGGAGATTCGTATGGCTGTTCTCATCAGAAGAATATGGAAGCCGACGGGCAGTTGCTGTGGAAACCTCAGTCCAGCCGCAAATCCCATTTAGCGAATATCAGAAGAATCACCGGAGGAAGGGAGAGAGGTCATGACGAGGACTGATTCTCCTCAAGGAGGGAGCGCAGCTGCCGCGGTGGTGGCGGTGAGCTACGGCGGCGGTGGTCCGGGCGAAGCACCGGCAGACGGTCCAGCTGGAAAGGAGGCGACGGCGCAGTAAAAATCATGCGAACGAGCTGGAGCGGTGTTATCCGGGGAAGACCAGCCTCGTATGGGGGAGGAAGCCGCCGGAGAGAGCGCATCGCTTACGAAACATGAGGGCGAACCAGGGGCGAACACGAAAAGACTAGATTTACGTTCAAAGAGCGTCGGGAGAATTTACGACAACAACTGCGCAACTCGGCTCTGTGAAGGGAATCACTTTGGGCATGACACGAACAGATTCTGAACACCGCTGCCGCGTTTAACCCCTTTAGATCTGTTCAATACATACACAACTTTGTTACATAACAAATCCCCGGCAATGACTTAATTGAGATGATTTGCTTAAAGTACAGGCAACGTAAAGTGGTTGCTTAGCAACACTTCCATTACAGCAGAACGTGACTGTCGCATTAAAGTCAAACCCTCCGGGGTTGTTGACGTTTGGAAAACATTTGCCCCAGTTTTGAGTTTTATTGTTCCACAACGTTGTAATTTAAAATAATCTGGTAACTGAGTAAATGTAAAGGTTTGCACTTGTGAACAATCAGTGCATAGTTTATCAATTTATTTTTCAAATTACTGTCGCAATCATCTATTTTAATAAGTTCCCTTTTAATGTTTTTGTAATAGAAATAAAAGTATTTTTTATAAAATGACGTTTGGCTTAATGAAATTTTTAGCTATGAAAAAATTCTCTCTAGATATGCGATTTCAAGAGAAAGAAAGTTACAATGACACAAATAAACCCAAATTTACATAATAAATCAAAAGCATCGAGATCAAATATGGACAAGTTACCTATTCTTTATATTTAAATACATTGCAAAACTCCAAATCTCCCTATGATATTTGTGTCTGTAGCTGAACACCAGTCACACTTAACTGACTCACAGACATGAGTAAAACAATCATAAAGACAGCTGAGGTGAATGACTTTATTGGTCAGTTGTAATCCACATGCATTTCCAACAATATCTTCAATATTTATTAATAAAATGAAGGGAAACGAAAACTCTTCACTGTCAATGAACATCGTGTTTTTTTGCAGTCTGTGTGAATATGAAAGTAGGATCATTGAGAAATGTGTTCCATGTAGTGTTGTAATAATAACTAAAATGTATCAGATGACAAAAACAAACAAACTCAGATGCACAAAGCTCTATCGTTTCTTTTTGCTCTCTTTCTTTGGTTTCTGTCGAATCTGAGGTGCTGGTCCTTTGGGTTTCTTCACTGGTTCTGTCGTTTTCCCATCAGTGGACTCTGTCTCCTCCTGTGGGCCGAACACCAGAAACATTAAAAACTAAACGGCTAAACGCATGGAATGAATATATGTTCCTTTTTTCCAAGCTTAAATGCAGCTTTACCAAACAAACAGAAGAAGGAAATTCCCATGTGTACACCAAACAAAAGAAACCAACATGTTTCCTTTTGCCAGCAGAATAAACAAGTAAAAGAAACAGCGACACAATGCAGAAAATAATCAGAGACGCTGATAACTTTCAATTCAGTTATGGAGGAATGTTTCCATGTTTATAATCCTATAAATGTTTTTGGTATATTTTAATCCAAGATAAAAGCAGTAATAAGATTACTGTGGTAGTACAGAGAAATAGTCTCTAACTCTTGGGTTTTAACTCATTTCCTGACAAAAAAAAAAGTTTATTTAAATGAACCAGATGAGGTGACTTTAGTAAGTAAGTAAGTAAAAGTGTATTTATATAGCGCCTTTCTCAGATATAAATCACAAAGCGCTGTCCAACATGATAAAGATCAGGGCAAATACCTCTAACCAATAAAAACATCAGAAAAACAATAGCAGTGACGTAGAAAATAAAATCATGAGTATAAACAAAGTGAAGGTGTGAACCCGAACAAAGCCATAGTAACTGATAAGAATGGGTATCTTCCTTTGGCGCTTTTACATACTGATACAGACAGATGGCTAAATAAGATAAAACTCCCAACACTTCAAACAAATCTGTTAGATCTTTTGACAACAATGTGGCTCAGAGGTTGGCTGACATAACTGTAACGGAGTATGTGAGCATTTCCAGATTCTTTTCAGCCATTCCTTTCATTTCTCAGTATTGTGAGCTGTTCTAATGGTGTCAGATAGTTTTGAATTGCGTTACAGCAGCATTGATGTCAATATGTTACAAATGCAGCATTGAGTCAAAAGTGGTGTATATACTCACTTTGGGTTTTCACACCTAATCTAAAAGGTTTTTAACACTAAAGAGGAAAAAGAAACCTGACTATTTACATAAAACATGTGGTCAGGGTAAACAGTATGTTTACCTGACGTATTTTTCTCAATGAGTGAAATGTTCAACAAAAACTAAATTTTGTTGTTGGGTTGCAGCCAGAATTAAAAAGTTATTTTCCACAAAACATGATGAGCTTACCTATAAAGCACAAGTTTGTACAATGTTTCTGAAAAGAGATTGATTTTGGTTTTTCTATTGCAGATACCAATATGTAGGAGTCTTGGTCATCCGATATGTACTGCCTACTTTAACAGGCAGAATTTCATCAACAATATCTAGACATTTCCCACCTCATTTTCATGCTAAAATGTCACTAATACACCAGTTGATGTACTAAATTTATGAAGTTTAATTGGTTTTTGAATTCTGAATATAATTAACTAGTAAATATTACTGCTCAATGTTCAAGTTAGACACCTAAACAAACTAAATTTAAGAGTATTTATTATGCAGATGCTATCAGTGAATGTAAAAATACATTTAATATAAATTCTGCAACAACATCAGGCTGTCCGAGGATGTGCCTGACTTTAAATCGGCTTTACTTGGGTTTACTCCGGCTCGATGCATCGGTCTACCACTAATTCTCAATATAGCAAATTTCAGATCTATTTTATGTTTATGTATTTAGCAGACGCTTTTGTCCAAAGCGACTTACAAGTGATAATCGGCATGTTGCCCTTGAGGCTACGATAACAACAACTTGACATCAACCATGGAGAGGAGGGAACAAAGGAGTGGAATCAGATGTGAGAGAAATCATAACATTACGAATTTGCTGCGGTACCTGGTGTAAAAGAATAAGAGATAAGTAAAAATTAAGAAATAACTTCTTCAAGAACTTAGAGGATGATAAAAATATATTTGGGCTGTTTTGAAGTGTCCCTGCTTCTCTCACCACTGTGGATTCCACCTACCTGTTCATGGCTCTTGGATGTGGGGAAGATGATAGCCAGGATGCAGATAAGCTGGAAGATTGCACCCAGAAACAAACCGTAGCGCAGGATGCTTTCCAGTAAGGTCGGCTCAGGGACTTCAGGAGGGGAGAAGTCCAGCTCTGCAGACATGATGCTGCTTTGTTGGGACTGTTTTCCTTCACAGACCTTTTCAACCCAAAAAGAAAAAAATATATATTTTAAGCCCATGTAACAGTCGAATAACATTATAGTATAGATATAATTCTGCGACTGACTAAAAACTAAAACTATATATTTCCCCACGTAGACTGAAATATGCGATACTTGGCTAGCTAGCATCTACCCGGTCCAAAACAAAGATAAACAACTAAGAGCGGTATAAATCTAAACGGCCTTTCTCTTCTATCATGATGCCGATTTATGAAATATTGCTCACCAGCAGCGGTGGGGTTCAATCTTTTAAGTAGTCACGGAAAAATGTAGTTAGAAAAATCAGAGAGAAAACAGTTGTGAAACAGGAAAAAGCTATCAAAAGGCGAAACAATTATGAGAAACCGTGAAGGAAGTGACGCCTTTGTCTTGGGGTTCTACTTCCGCTTCGATGAAGATTTGTTTGAAAATGTCTCCTCCTAGCGTTCGTTACGAAAACTGTAAAACCTTAGTTTTACAGTAATAATGTTTACATCTCTATCTATCTATCTATCTATCTATCTATCTATCTATCTATCTATCTATCTATCTATCTATCTATCTATCTATCTATCTATCTGTCTGTCTGTCTGTCTATCTATCTGTCTATCTATCTGTCTCTGTCTGTCTGTCTGTCTGTCTGTCTGTCTGTCTGTCTGTCTGTCTGTCTGTCTGTCTGTCTATCTGCCTGCCTGCCTGCCTGTCCGTCCGTCATGTTTCAGCTGCATAATTAAAATTTCATATATATATAAATAAAATTCCCATCCCAGCCTCTGCGGATGGTCTCATCCTTCCAAGCTTGGGTCCTCTACCAGAGACCTGGCAGCTTGAGGCTTCTGCGCAGTATCTTAGCTGTTCCTAGAACTGCACTTTTCTGGACTGAGATGTCTGATGTTTTTCCTGGGATCTGCTTTAGCCACTCCTCCAGTTTGGGGGTTACTGCCCCGATGACCACGGCCACCCCCGATGTCTTCACTCCAGGCTTTCTCAAGTTCTTCTTTGAGACCCTGGTACTTCTCTAGTTTCTTCTGTTCCTTTTTCCTGATGTTGTCATCACTTGGTATTGCCACATCAACCACAATGTCCTCTGTAGTGTGTCTACCACCACAATGTCTGGTTGGTTCACGTCACCTTTTTGTCAATCTGGATGTGGAAGTCCCACAGGAGCTTGGCTCTCTCGATCTCAACCACCTAAGGGGTGTTTCTCACTTTGACCTCGGGACTTCCAGTCCATACTCTGCACAGATGTTCCTGTACACGATGCCAGCCACTTGGTTGTGGCGTTCCATGTTTGTTTTCCCTGCCAGCATCTTACACCCTGCAGTTATGTGGACTGTCTCAGATGCCTATTTGCATAGCCTACACCTTGGGTCTTGTCTGGTTTGGTAGATATTGGCCTCTGTTGAGATCAGGGGCGCCTCCAGAAAATTTTGATAGGAGTGGCCAAATGGGACTAAAGAAATTTTTGGGGTGGCACACCAAATTGGTCCTTGTGGTAACTCTGGTTGAATTTAGTCTGTGGTGATGTACTGCATTGTGCCTTTATTCGTATTTATTAAAATAACAGTACGTATCCAAAACGTTTAACTTAAATTTTACAAACACAAACATTTTAGAAAAATACTTGTCAGTTATGAAAAATGTTATCCCAAGTTTAATTTTAAAATGTATTTTTTTAGGTTAATTCACCTATTGCTGTGTTCACAAAAAAATAAAAAATAAACCTATGGAGATAAAAGCTTTTTTTAAATGGTGAGCTGCAGAAACATATGTATTTTTAAAAATTCTGATTATTTCTTTACTCATTAATTGTAATATTTTTATTTTATTTTACTATTATGTCTTGAATAAACAAGATCAATATATGGTTTGACTGAAGTGGTAGGTATTCCCGGGGGTGGGGGTGGGGGGGGGGGGGGGGGTGCACACAGCAATTTTCAGCACCCCTGACCACCCCTTGGTTGAGATCAATATATATATATATATATATATATATATATATATATATATATATATATATATATATATATATATATATATATATATATATATATGTATATATATATATATATATATATATATATATATATATATATATATATATATATATATATATATATATATATGTATATATATATATATATATATATATATATATGTGTGTGTGTGTGTGTGTGTGTGTGTGTGTGTGTGTGTGTGTGTGTGTGTGTGTGTGTGTGTGTACACCAGAAAAGCATGTGGGATTATGTTGATTTGATCTTTTAAGTCGTTTCATTAATTAGCTACTAAGAGGCGTGAGCATAGTTGCTCTTGTTGAAGTAAAACTGTAATTGCTGTCCTGCAACACTGATCTGAATTTTATCGTTTTAAAAAATGACATAAGCAGATGGGACAGGATAAATACTAAGATTTCACACACAGATTTGTATTATCAAAATTTATTTGATATCAAATATTTTCTACACGGTTAATAGAGTAATTGTACAGTCATATAAACAGAGAAAAGTCAAAGACATAAAAGATAGAGTATAAAAAATGGCATAATTATCTTTGTAAAGTCTAAAATGTGTGACTGTGTGTAATTTTGACATAAAGTTATGCTTCAGAGGTCAGTTTAAGCTGTGTGAACCTTTGAACCTACATTGATTCAGCTCCAACAATTAGCCTGAAATTTCTCCCTCCACTTTGTGTCACTTGCAAATTACACGCACTGCATAAACTTCAAAAGTGTTAGTCTCCAGAGCTGTAGAAGTGCTGCAGGATCAGTCTCCATTGTGACCTCTCATGTCTCTTTGTATGATGTCATTCACTGTAAAACATTAAAATGAGGAATGAGTAATTTGAAGTTTCACAACAATATCCAGTAAAAAAAAAAAACAGTAAAAAAAAGATTTTGTGTCTTCACTTTTGTACGATTAATATTTTTGTACAATTAATTTTGTACTTTTAAAAATATAAATGAAGATGACAATGATTTACGTAAAACTGCCAGTAGGAGTCTCCAGAGTCCGAGGATGTTATGTTTGTATTTAATGATTGAAAAACAAAAAATACAGTAAATGACAGAGATGTATGAAACAAACATCCGTCATCAGACTCGAACCTTGGATGTTGGGGTTTGTGGCCTTTTTGACATCAGTAATCAGGATTCTCCCACCTGCTTAAAAATAATCTGACTTCAAACAGAAAGGACACCAGTAATGGCCGACACAAAGCATGGCGTACAGACTACAGACAGTCCAGTGCAGTTTTACTTGACGATGCCCTTCAGTAGTTTCTATTACTTCGCTGTTGCCCCAACTTCTTATGAGACCAGAACAAAGAATGTTTTTTAAAACTAGACGTATCAGCATAAATTTGCCTGTACAGTTTACTTCCTGTTTCTTTCCACCATCACAGAGTTGTAAACAGAAACTTTCCCCTTCAGCAGAAAGGTAAATTCGTTCTCTCTGCGTGTTGCTGCTTCATATCAGAAATGGCAGTAAACAGTATAAGCTAACTCTAAAGAACAATGTTTGTATGTATAAAGGTTTAGAAAGCATGAGAGAGAGAGAGAGAGAGAGAGAGAGAGAGAGAGAGAGAGAGAGAGAGAGAGAGAGAGAGAGAGAGAGAGAGAGAGTGTGTGTGTGTGTGTGTGTGTGTGTGTGTGTGTGTGTGTGTGTGTGTGTGTGTGTGTGTGTGTGTGTGTGTGTGTGTGTGTGAGTGAGTGAGTGAGTGAGTGAGTGAGTGAGTGAGTGAGTGAGAGATAATGGTGAGACAGAAACAGACAGGAAAGTGGATACAAAGGCCTGACAGAAAACCACAGGGTAGGATTTGCAAGCGTACTGTTGCAGTGTGCGTGCGTGCATTGCACTGGACCACAAACACCCATCCCCCAGGCTTCAGAGTGTCTCCTTTAGAGTAGCTGTTTGTATGTTTTTACTGTGTTGTATCCTTTTTTGTTTTTGATTATAATTAATAACCTAATCAATACCATCTATGGCAAATTTGGAAAGACGCCTTTTATATAATGTTAGACCCACTGTTGACATAAAATCATCAATGATTTAAGGTAAAATGCATCAAGCAAGCCTCACTTTTCCCCAAGACACTTTCCATTCAATAATTTTTTTTGCAGCAATAGATCTAATAACAGCATCTAATAACAGTGTGAAGCAGTTTAATACATATTTAAAAGAAGCACTGAGTTGTCATTTAGGCTCACGTTCTGAAGAACTTTAAATTAAAAGTATATAAGATCATTAGAAGAAGAACCTGCAAATTTACATTTGTATTATTTTATTGTACAGGTGCTGGCCAGTAAATTAGAATATCATCAAAAGGTTGAAAATATTTCAGTAATTCCATTCAAAACGTGAAACTTGTACATTATATTCATGCAATGCACACAGACCAATGTATTTCCAATGTTCATTACATTTAAATTTGATATTCATAAGTGACAACTAATGAAAACTCCAAATTTGGTATCTCAAAAAATTAGAATATTCTGAAAAGGCTGAATATAGAAGACACCTGCTGCCACTCTAATCAGCTGATTTACTCAAAACACCTGCAAAGGCCTTTAAAAGGTCCCTCAGTCTTGTTTTGAAGGCACCACAATCATGGGGAAGACTTCTGACTTAACAGCTGTCCAAAAGACAATCATTGACACCTTGCACAAGGAGGGCAAGACACAAAAGGTGATTGCTAAAGAAGCTGGCTGTTCGCAGAGCTCTGTGTCCAAGCACATTAACAGACAGGCGAAGGGACGGAAAAAATGTGGTAGAAAAAAGTGTACAAGCTCTAGGGATAACCGCACCTTGCAGAGAATTGTGACGACAAACCCATTCAAAAATGTGGGGGAGATCCACAAAGAGTGGACTGCAGCTGGAGTCAGCGCTTCAAGAACCACCACGAGGAGACTCATGAAAGACATGGGATTCAGGTGTCGCATTCCGTGTGTCAAGCCACTCTTGAACAAGAAACAGCGCAAGAAGCGTCTCGCCTGGGCCAAGGACAAAAAGGACTGGACTGATGCTGAGTGGTCCAAAGTTATGTTTTCTGATGAAAGCAAGTTCTGCATTTCCTTTGGAAATCAAGGACCCAGAGTCTGGAGGAAGAGCGGAGAAGCACAGAATCCACGTTGCATGAGGTCCAGTGTAAAGTTTCCACCGTCAGTGATGGTGTGGGGTGCCATGTCATCTGCCGGTGTTGGCCCACTCTGTTTCCTGAGGTCCAGGGTCAATGCAGCCGTCTACCAGGAAGTTTTAGAGCACTTCATGCTTCCTGCTGCTGACCAACTTTATGGGGATGCAGACTTCACCTTTCAACAGGACTTGGCACCTGCACACAGTGCCAAAACCACCAGCACCTGGTTCAAGGACCATGGTATCCCTGTCCTTGATTGGCCAGCAAACTCACCTGACCTTAACCCCATAGAAAATCTATGGGGTATTGTGAAGCGGAGGATGCAATACGCTAGACCCAACAATGCAGAGGAGCTGAAGACGACTATCAGAGCAACCTGGGCTCTCATAACACCTGAGCAGTGCCACAGACTGATCGAGTCCATGCCACGCCGCATTACTGCAGTTATTGAGGCAAAAGGAGCCCCGACTAAGTATTGAGTGCTATACATGCACATTCTTTTCATGTTCATTCTTTTCAGTTGGCCAACATTAGAGAAACAAACATTTTTTCATTGGCCTTTAGAATATTCTAATTTTCTGAGATACCAGATTTGATGTTTTCATTGGTTGTCACCTATAAATATCAAATTTAAATGTAATGAACATTGGAAATACATTGGTCTGTGTGCATTGCATGAATATAATGTACAAGTTTCACGTTTTGAATGGAATTACTGAAATATTTTCAACCTTTTGATGATATTCTAATTTACTGGCCAGCACCTGTATTTCCCCATCTAAACAACTAGTTGCAGGCAGTTTCTGTTTTTTTATTCAAAGGCAATTACCAAAATCATAGGAAAATGAAGATTTTGGCCCACAAACATTACATAAAAACAAGTGTTGACGGGTTTTCTTTCAGTGTGAAAAGAATGCCTAAAAACCTATTGCCTGTATGCCTCAACAGTCTGGTCATTATTTTTCTAATAATCATGTGATTTGTCTTGGGCTGTAAGAGACAGTTGGGCAGAGATAATATATATATATATATATATATATATATATATATATACATATGCACAACAAAATAATAAACGCAACACCTTTGTTTCTGCTCCGGTTTTTCATGAGATGGACTTAAAGATCTACAATTCATTCCAGATACACAATATTACCATTTCTCTCAAACATTGTTCACAATCAGTCTAAATGTGTGATAGTGAGAACTTCTGCTTTGCTGAGACAATCCATCCCACCTCACAGGTGTGCCACATCAAGATGCTGATCCGACATCATGAGTAGTGCACAGGTGTACCTTATACTGCCCACAATAAAAGGCCACCCTGGAATGTGCAGTTTTGTCTCACAGCAAAATGCCACAGATGCCACAAGCATCGATGGAGCGTGCAATTGGCATACTGACAGCAGGAATGCCAACCAGATCTGTTGCTCGTGCATTGAATGTTTATTTCTCCACCATAAGCTGTCTCCAAAGACGTTTCAGAGAATGTGGCAGTACATCCAACCGGCCTCACAACCGCAGATGACGTGTAACCACACCAGCCCAGGACCTCCATACCCAGCAGGTTCACCTCCAAGTTCGTCTACTCAGACAGCTGCTGAAACAATTGGTTTGCATAATCAAACAATTTCAGCAAAAACTGTCAGAAACCGTCTCAGAGAAGCTCAACTGCATGCTCGTCGTCCTCATCGGGGTCTTGACCTGACTCCCAATTCGTCGCCGTAACAGATTTGAGTGGGCAAATGCTCACATTCGATGGCGTCTGGCATGTTGGAGAGGTGTTCTCTTCATGGATGAATCTCGGTTTACATTGTTCAGGGCAGATGGCAGACAGCGTGTGTGGCCTCGTGTGGGTGAGTGCTTTGCTGATGTCAGTGTTGTGGATTGAGTGGCCCATGGTGGTGGTGGGGTTATGGTATGGGCAGGCATCTGTTATGGACAAAGTACACAGGTGGATTTTATTGATGGCATTTTGAATGCAGAGATACCGTGATGAGATCCTGAGGCCCATTGTTGTGCCATACATCCATGAACATCACCTCATGTTTCAGCAAGATAATGCACGGCCCCATGTTGCAAGGATCTGTACACAATTCTTGGAAGCTGAAAATGTCCCAGTTTTTGCATGGTCAGCATACTCACCGGACATGTCACCCGTTTAGCATGTTTGGGATGTGCTTGACCGGCGTATACGACAGCGTGTACCAGTTCCCACTAATATCCAACAACTTCACACAGCCATTGAAGAGGAGTGGACCAACATTCCACAGGCCACAATTGACAATCTGATAAACTCTATGCAAAGAAGATGTGTTGCACTGCATGAGGCAAATGGTGGTCACACCAGATACTGACCGGTTCTGAGTCCCCAGACCCCCAATAAAGCAAAAAACTGCACATTCCAGGGTGGCCTTTTATTGTGGGCAGTACAGGGAGTGCAGAATTATTAGGCAAATGAGTATTTTGTCCACATCATCCTCTTCATGTATGTTGTCTTACTCCAAGCTGTATAGGCTCGAAAGCCTACTACCAATTAAGCATATTAGGTGATGTGCATCTCTGTAATGAGAAGGGGTGTGGTCTATTGACATCAACACCCTACATCAGGTGTGAATAATTATTAGGCAATTTCCTTTCCTTTGGCAAAATGGGTAAAAAGAAGGACTTGACAGGCTCAGAAAGGTCAAAAACAGTGAGATATCTTGCAGAGGGATGCAGCAGTCTTAAAATTGCAAAGCTTCTGAAGCGTGATCATCGAACAATCAAGTGTTTCACTCAAAATAGTCAACAGGGTCGCAAGAAGTGTGTGGAAAAACCAAGGCGCAAAATAACTGCCCATGAACTGAGAAAAGTCAAGCGTGCAGCTGCCAAGATGCCACTTGTCACCAGTTTGGCCATATTTCAGAGCTGCAACATCACTGGAGTGCCCAAGAGCACAAGGTGTGCAATACTCAGAGACATGGCCAAGGTAAGAAAGGCTGAAAGACGACCACCACTGAACAAGACGCACAAGCTGAAACGTCAAGACTGGGCCAAGAAATATCTCAAGACTGATTTTTCTAAGGTTTTATGGACTGATGAAATGAGAGTGAGTCTTGATGGGCCCGTGGCTGGATTGGTAAAGGGCAGAGAGCTCCAGTCCGATTCAGACGCCAGCAAGGTGGAGGTGGAGTACTGGTTTGGGCTTGTATCATCAAATATGAGCTTGTGGGGCCTTTTCGGGTTGAGCATGGAGTCAAGCTCAACTCCCAGTCCTACTGCCAGTTTCTGGAAGACACCTTCTTCAAGCAGTGGTACAGGAAGAAGTCTACATCCTTCAAGAAAAACATGATTTTCATGCAGGACAATGCTCCATCACACGCGTCCAAGTACTCCACAGCGTGGCTGGCAAGAAAGGGTATAAAAGAAGAAAAACTAATGACATGGCCTCCATGTTCACCTGATCTGAACCCCATTGAGAACCTGTGGTCCATCATCAAATGTGAGATTTACAAGGAGGGAAAACAGTACACCTCTCTGAACAGTGTCTGGGAGGCTGTGGTTGCTGCTGCACGCAATGTTGATGGTGAACAGATCAAAACACTGACAGAATCCATGGATGGCAGGCTTTTGAGTGTCCTTGCAAAGAAAGGTGGCTATATTGGTTGCTGATTTGATTTTGTATTGTTTTTGAATGTCAGAAATGTATATTTGTGAATGTGGAGATGTTATATTGGTTTCACTGGTAAAAATAAATAATTGAAATGGGTATATATTTGTTTTTTGCTAAGTTGCCTAATAATTATGCACAGTAATAGCCGCTAAAACTAAAAACAAACTAAAAACTACTTCCAAAACCATTCAGCTTTGATATTAATGAGTTGTTTGGATTCATTGAGAACATGGTTGTTGTTCAATAATAAAATTATTCCTCAAAAATACAACTTGCCTAAAAATTCTGCACTCCGTGTATAAGATACACCTGTGCACTACTCATGATGTCAGATCAGCATCTTGATGTGGCACACCTGTGAGGTGGGATGGATTATCTCAGCAAAGCACAGGTGCTCACTATCACACATTTAGAATGATTTGTGAACAATGTTTGAGAGAAATAGTAATGTTGTGTATCTGGAATGAATTTTAGATCTTCAAGTCCATCTCATGAAAAATCGGAGCAGAAACAAAGGTGTTGCGTTTATATTTTTGTTGAAAGTGAATGTATGTATATATATATATATATATATATATATATATATATATATATATATATATATATATACTCAACAAAAATATAAACGCAACATTATTAAGTTGGCTTTACAGTTGATTTATACAGTGTACAAAACCAAGACAACAGAACAGAGAGGGGAGAACAGTACACCGGAAAACGAAACAAACCAAAAAACTAACATCATTGCGTCATTAAAAAAAAAACTGCTTCCAAATACAAAATTGTCATCTTAGCTAGACCATGGCCTCTCTCCATCTATAACACCCTCTGATACGAGCTCAGATTTTGCATCCTTGAACATGGCTGTATCTCATCTAACTTTCCAACAGTTTTTCAATCTATCCATCTACAACACATCCACTAAAAAACTCACCATCCTCCAAGTAGGCATAGCTCAGGTTCTCTTGCTTGATTGTTATCCCCTCTGGAGCTTTGTCATCATGGCTTCTATTAGCTGATCCAACAGGAATGAATGGCTGCCCGCTTGGTTCTTCTCGACTTCCTGCCTTCACTTGAATATACCTTGAAGGTGGCGACCTTCCCATAGATATTGATGTTTGCCCAAACACCTGATGTCTTGACATCAAACAAGCCTCAAAAGAATCGCCCACCTGTGGACCTTCACCCGGGTTGGCCATGGGGGTCCTGGCACTTGCACACTGGCTGGGAATGGGGGCAGAATGAGACAGAAAGGCATTGCTGGAGTTGTTGTAACGTTGGTTTGCAGTGTGGTATATCACGGGGTTGTTGATTAGAGCTCCAGCTCTAGACTGGAAATAGATAGGGTCATCAAAAGAATCCGGAGTTGCCATGTGGCCACGTGTGTCTACAGTGGTTAGATGGTACATTGTTGGTGAAACATTCAGAGGTTGAGGGTTGATCTCCTGCTCCAGATGGTGGTAAAGAGACTTCATTGACATTCCAGACTCGGAGCAGCTGTATGAATTCACCTGATACATGTCCAAAGGCTCCGCTTTGATGGCTGAAGAAAAAAGAGAGAATGGAAGCATTAAAATATGACTAAGAATAATACAAAGGGTTCAAATGAAGGCACTTGGACTTTATCGGTTTCCTGAAGATGTTTTACTTCACATCTGAGGTACTTTGTCAATTTTGATGGGAATATCGGGGAGTCAAGTTTATGAACTGTAGCTGTTTGTTGTTTCATGAGCTGAAACTACCTATGAATAGCCTGCCTTCATACCCTGGAGGAGACATTGATGTTGTTATGTCCTATTGTGTTAGAAGATGTTTCATTACTCATCCGAGGAACTTTGTCAATTCTGAATGGAATAAGGGAGAGTCGAATTACCATGACCTGGGTGACTGAGAACCTTCACCAGCATGACTAAGATTACATAACACAATTAATACAGTAGATTTGGCATAAGAATGAAATTATGCAGAGGACAATTTGTTCTTCTGGTATAAAACTGCTCAAAATAGTGAACACTGACATTCGGAGCAGTCCAATCACAGCGTTCTATTGGTTTGGTGGACCAATGACTATGTTGGTGGGCGGTATGTTACTGAAAACACAAAGATGGCGATGGCTTGTTTGAAACAGGTTTGGCATCAGCCTTGGACTATTTAAACTTTGGCTTTTCTTTGGGTCAAGAGCAGACAGAGGTACTTAAGTTTATTTTTAAAAGAGTATGTATTTGCATCTTCTTTGACAGAGTATGGCAGACTGCCTTGTGGACAGACATCCGTAGCCGTGAGTATGTCTTGTTGTTTATTATCCAATAGTATGCAGAGACAGTTTGAAAGACAACCATAGATCCTGCCTCACAACTGAGAGCTGTCAATGGGCCGTGGCCAGATTATATATTCACATATATAGGATGGCTTTCCAAGCTAACCAGAACCCGCATTGCCAGAGTAAAGGAGATAGTGCTAAACACCAGTCACCGTTTTCTACATCCAAACATTTATTGTTCCTGTAACTTCAAATGGTGTTTTTATTTTTATTTTTTTGGGGGTAGTTTGTCCTAAAGTTGAAGTGGTAGCAGCCGGCTGTTTCTCCATCTTCGATATTATTAACCTCTCAAACCAGTGGTGTTCTGTTGCAAAATGTGCGTAATGAGTAAAGGAGGAAGTGCGGTGGTTCGTTGAGACCAATTGTTCAGTCGTTGCTTTCAGTGTGAGCCATGTCATTGGCTGAGGTTTTTCCAGCACCCCCTCCAAGGTCTCCAAAAAGGGCGGTTAATCTGAACCGTAGTTTAGTGCATAAGCACAGACCACAGTCAGAACCCGTCCCTCTACACGTAGGCAGAGGGAGGCTAACCTCTCGTTCACTGGGGTAAACCCCAATGTACAGGAACCAAGATGGCGGGAAACTAGTATGCCCACCCCTGCTTGGCGCCTCTCAGTGGGAGCAACTCCAGAGTGGTAGAAAGTCCAACCCCTCTCAAGAAAACTGGTTCCAGAGCCATGCATTGAGGTGAGTCCGACTATGTCTAGTCGGAACCTCTCAACCTCACACACCAACTCAGGCTCCTTCCCCACCAGAGAGGTGACATTCCTTGTGCCAAGAGCCAGCTTCTGTAGCCAAGGATCAGACCGCCAAGGTCCCCCACCCTTGACTACCACCTGTCACACACTGCACCCAACCCCTTTGGCCCCTCCCACGAGTGGTGAGCCCATGGGAAGGGGGACCCATGTTTCCTCTTCGGGCTGTGCCCGGCCGGGCGCCATGGGTGAAAGCCTGGCCACCAGTGCTCGCCAATGTGCCCCACCTCCAGGCCTGGCTCCAGAGGGGGGCCCCGGTGACCCACGTCTGGGCGAGGGAACACGGTTTCCATTTATATAATTCATTATAAGAGGTCTTCGGGCTGCTCTTTGTCTGATCCCTCACCTAGGACCTGTTTGCCATGGGTGACCCTACCAGAGGCATAAAGCCTCAGACAACTTAGCTCCTAGGATCATTGACACTCAAACCCTTCCACCACAGTAAGGTGACAGCCCAGCCTATGTTAGCGTATATTTGAGTATGATTGTAAGAGGCATGAAAACATATTTTATGCTAGCTTGTTTTGCAGATTTGCCATCATAGCTTCAAGACCGTACCAAGTGTGGAGGTAATTTGGACGTGAGCACTGTGTTTAGTTGTTTGGGATGATAATGAAAACAATGGTTGAACTTCCCCCAGTACATTAAACACAGGATACTTGTTCTCAAAATGAAACTCGTGTTCTGACTACTGTGGGCTGCAAAAAATATGTTGAGCGATTATAATGTGGATGGGTTTATCACAGCAGTCTAAAGGAAGCTTCTAGATGGAAACGACATTAATCTGTTTTGAGGTTGAAGCATCAAGCAACCAGATCAAATCTAAAATCTGACATTTTTCTGTATTTGCCTCTAATTCATTTTAAAGGTAGAGCTCTGACACATATCCTTTTAAAAATGCAATTGTTTTACACTAAGCGCATCTTCATCAGTGTCCCTTTGTGTTGTCCTCATAACCAAAGTGGACTAAAGATGTTTAAGTTTCTCAAACATTCAGATTACAGTCCCCACCCCACCTCCCAGTAATGTGAAACCAGGATGGCAATCACGCAAACACATACACACCTATCACTGGAGTGTAGATGAAGTGTTGAGGCTGGCTGCGTTTCTTCTTCCCATTAACAACGTAGAAGTTGACTTTGGCCGGTTGGCAAATTTTTCGGTCTCGGTAAGGAGGGACTTCAACGAACAGCATGTTCTAGAGTTTGAAAAAGAAGTCACATTGAAAAAAACAAGCAGATTAATTAATTTATAAGACATTAAAATGAACATAGCAGGCTTTACTTTCACTTTTCAGACAATGTTGCTGTTTACCTCTTTATACTCTTTAAAAATCATTAGTTGAAATGCAAAAAATATACATAAGATAAAACATGGGTTATGTGAGTTTGCATATTATGTAAAAAAAAATGGAGAACTGAAGCTTACAGCTTGGGTTTTGTCTCTGTCCACAGTGGCTTCAACTTCCCAGATTTGTTGACCATCTAAAAGGGAAAAAATATAAATATCAAAAAGAAAATAAAAAAGAAATAGCCTAATATAAGAATTTAGAAAGTCAACTTCTACAGTCATTTAATTCACATGGAGTAAGTAAATGCCTAAAAGATATTTCTGCATGTTAATAACCAACACTTTAGGACTTATTTGCTTAATCAAATCTCTGTTGTTGTCATACACAAAGCTTATTTTTGAAATGTTTCTGGTATGCTGGTAAATTTCTGTTTCTGTCTATAGATAACCAAGCTCATTTTTCTAAAAACACAACATTTCACTAAGAAAAAGAAAGAAAAGAGAGGTGTATTTTTGGTGGGAAAAGGTAGATTTCTAATAGTTGATTTCAATCCAGTTATGCATTATGTGAAGACATTGGTTCACATAATGATAAACAACGGAAACAAGCTGCTCTCTTTTAAGTCTGTTTCACTCCCACCTCAGTTTTAACCTGCAGCTTCTCTGTTAGCCCACGCATAACAAAAAAAAAAAAAAAAAAGGAAAGTCTCTGCATTATGTTCATCTAACCACATCCTGTTACACAAAACAACCAAGCAGCAGAGAGGTTTTATGAGATATGAACCTTAGCCATCCTGATCTCAAACTAACTAACCCAACTCCTCTGTGTTGGCTAAAAGAGCCCCAACAAGGTGAGAAATTTCCATCATAAATAAACACAAGTAGTCATTTCCAGTCAAAAGTGCAATAGTTAAAACAGCATGGTTTGTTTTGTCAAAATTGAAAGTGTAGGTTGCTGGAGGACATGCCCCACGTAAGCTGATGTTTCCCAGGTGACATGCAAATAATCTAAAAATAAAGATACTAAAGACGTAGATGAGCACCTTCGAAAAAAATACTGGTAGGCCACAGATTATTATTATTAGCCTATTTTAATCACAGCTGCAACTCTGGAACTAAATATAGCCACATAAAAATCACACGTCAATACAAAATACAATAGGAATCATTGTAAAAGCAACTCAGAACAGTTTATAGAGAACACAGGCAATGTCATGCTTTTTTAAAAAACTATAAAACTAATCTGCATGAGATATTGCTCAAGGTCATGCATTTGCTTCTAAAACCTCTCCTTTCCAGCTCAAGAGAAGAATGAAGACAGAGGACTCTTTCTTTTTAATAAATCAAAGAACTCTATTTTTAATAAAGCTAATCAAACAAAGTGTTAGTCAATAATAAGATGTTGACCAATCTGTTAAATGGCAATGTTATGATTAGTAAGTTTTAATGAGTAATATGACTTTAATCTAGCTGCGCTAGAAATCTTGATACATGTAATGTAAACGCATGACACATTGCTTTTACTCATCCAATCGGAACCTTCCTTTCTGACGTGTGGCATAGTCTCTGTGGTGTTTATAAATCTGTCCAACTTTGACTCGACCGTAAATCAAAACATCCAGATTAATAAAACCAGTCCCACACCATCTTAGTTCAGTTCACCGTATTCTAAGAGAAGTATCGGACCGGCCACCCGGACTTCCTTTTTAAGCAAAGAACCAACAAGCTGGATAAAATCTGTTGCATTTTACCAACCAAGCAACGGTTCCTTTCAGAATAAAAGCTGAACTCACTGACCCTCCAGGCCCATCTGACGCTGTCAACCAACTGTCGCTTTTTACCTGGAGACAATCCAAAGACTAGTCTGTCGTACTGCTGACGCTGTTTCATCGGCTCCGGTACCGAAAGGGGGGTCCGAGGACCTGGCATTCTGGATCTGTACGGAGGTATCATTCTAAGGGTATGTGTGGAGCGACAAAATGGCGTCTCATGTGTTTATGAAACTCCGATCATAGCGTAAGAGCAAAACATCACTTCATCATTCAGACTTGCTTCTCCGGATACGAGAGTTCTGATGACAACATCACACACACATACACCATTCATCTCACGTCTCATTCACACCAAGGTCCATCCATTCACTTAGAATTTAGAGTTAGTCTTGTTTAAAATTGTTTAGAAATAAATCTTCTTAAACATTTCAACGGTTACTCTCTCTTCTCTTGTCTCTCAGTTAATACGAAGTGTTACATAATCCCTGCAATAAAAAGTTCCAATCTTCTGGTTAAAAGTACCTAAAGATCCACAAGATAGATTTCATATTTACTATGGAATCTCATGTCTTATGGTTCATTATATATGTAAATTAAACCCTTACAGTGATAAAGGGGACCCCAGAGGGACGCGAAGGACGCAATCGAACGCCTTCTACGAATCTACAAAACACATGTAGATCGGTTGGGTGAACTCCCACGCACCCTCCACGATCCCGCTCAAGGTATAGGTTCCACGGCCGGGACAAAAATCTCATTGCTCCTCCTGAATCTGAGGTTCAGCCATCAGATGGACCCTCCTCTCCAGAACCCCTGCATAGACCTTACCAGGGAGGCTCAGGAGTGTGATCCCCCAGTAGTTGGAACACACAGAGGAGTTTTATAACCACCCCAGTGACCTCGGCACCAGAGATTGGAGAGTCCAATCCAAAGTTGCTCCATGCTCTCATTGAACTCCCACATGTGGGTTTTTGCCTCCGTGACCACCCGAGCCGCATTCTGCTTGGACTGCCAGTACCCATCAGCTGGCTCTGGAGTCCCACAGGCTAAAAAGACCTGATAGGACTCTTTCTTCAGCTTGACAGCATCCCCAACCGCCGGGGTCCACCAGCAGGTTCGAGGGCTGCCACCTTGACAAGTACTGATAACCCTATGGCCGCAGCTCTGGTCAGCCGCCTCGACAATGGAAGCATGGAATATATGGCCCACTTGGACTTCTCTCGAGACGTGTTTGAAATTCCGTCGGAGGTGGAATTTGAAGATCCTTCTGACAGGAGGCTCCGCCAGAAGTTCCCAGCAGACGAATAAGTTTATGCTTGCCAGGTCTGACCAGCTTCCTCCCCCACTATCAAAACCAACTTACCACCAGGTAGTGGTCAGTTGACAGCTCCGCCCCTCTCTTCACCCAAGTGTCCAAGACATGTGGCCGCAGATCTGATGAAACAACTACAAAGTCAATCATCGAACTGTGATCAGACCGCCAAGGTCCCTGACTTCGGCCACCACCCAAAACACAATGCACCCAACCCCTTTGGCCCCTCCCAAGAGGGGACCCACGTCTCCTCTATGGGCTGTGCCCGGCTGGGCTCCATGGGTAAAAGCCTGGCCACCAAGTGCTCGCCAACGTGCCCCAACTCCAGGGCTGGCTCCGGGGGAAGGGGGGGGGGGGGGGGGGGGGGTGACCCACGTCCAGGCGAGGGAACACGGTTTTCATACAGTATATGTTTTTCTACATAAGGGGTCTGTCTATAGGCTGCACTTTGTCTTACTAATGTGTACCAAAAAAAATGTATGCATAATTTGTGTTCACAAGGGAGGTGAAAATCACGCAATCTCACCATATCAAATTTGTCTTTTGAAATCTTAATTATTTTGATGTCTTTACAACCTTGGAAGATAAGTAGATTTAAAATGAGTATATACATAATATCTCACCTTGTGTCTTCTCAGAGAAGATCACCTTTGAAGCAGATGTGAAATTCTGTCCAGTTAGGACCATCTGCTGACCGCCATGTACGGAGCATCGGTCCAGATCCTGCCGCTCAACCGCAGGGAACTCCTGAGCTGAGCGCTGAGCTGTGGAAACACAAAGACAACGCTACGTGCAAATAACCACAAAAAGAAAACAGTATTTTAGGGTAGCTTGATTTTGGTATTTGGTTTATTTATTTATTTCTAGCAGCAGAAGAAGAGCCTTTGTGTTGGTAAATTATGCCGTTTGTTTGCAAGCGTGTCTGTCTGCAGAATTATACAAATATTTCTGCTGTATTACAACAAAAGCTTGTCCTCCTCGTTCTGTCTCTATTAATAATTAATTCAACATGTCTTACAGCATTCAATTCGGTGAGAGGTGACCTGAAGAGACACGAGGTGACCTCCAGGCTCAGGGATGTGAACACGAAACACCAAACGCACTCGTGTGTTTTTTCGTCCGATGTCCGTCTCACCGTTCCTCAGTTCAATGTCTGCGTTTCTCAGCTTCAAGATCCCAACACAGTCGATCCTATGCAATTAAAAAAGATCCAGTAAAATGTTTGCCAACTGTTATTAACTATTCTATTTAACATGTTAAATACAATTAATTAATTAGAAATAAAATAACGCGTTAGTAAAAACTAACTCATTTTACCCTTTGGGCCCAAATATAGCATCAAATTAAACTTTACATCACATGCCCTAAATATCAATACATATCGTCACGCTGCACCTCTAAAAACACCTCGGCTGGTCTGGGTGGGGGCCTAGGGGCTCGGGGTGTGGGGGTGGCCGGCCCCGTGGGGGGATCTGGGCGGGGCCTTGGGGGTCGGGTCCTGACATGTATGTTGCCGGGGAGAAGGCAGGAACATGCAGCAGTGCCTGACTCTGGTTCAGGGGCCTCGGGTAGACCTTGGCTCCTCTGCTGTCCCATCACAGGGGAGGGGGAAGTCCAGGAGGGGGAGAACCCAACCTTACCTGGATGTCCTATGTCTTTTATAGTCCGGAAGTTGTGCAAATGCAGGGATGGGCGTAGATATTCTGTTGGGGGTTGGGCTGGGTTGGTGCCCTCGGACTCCGTGAGGCTCTGTGATGCTGCTGCTTTGGGCCCTGGCAGGATGGGCTGGGGTCTCCATGCTCTAGGCGGCATTTTGACAACAGAGGTGCCTATTGGAGCCAGTGGGGGAGCTGGCTCCCTGGAGGGCTAAGCCAAACCAGCCATTCCTCCCCATCCCCACACATTTCTCTCCTCCTGCTCTCTCACATCATCACACAAACATGCACATAGGACCCTGGGGGTGGACAAGTCAGGGACTGCGGGTATGGACCCCATTTCCACATTCGTGTGGCAACCTGCCCCCCAATTTTATCTGCACCTTAAACATTTCCACCAACGACATTCCACGCAAACACACACTTAGGGCCTTGGGAGTGAGCACATCCAACGGCATTTGGCAGGGGGATTTCTCTGCCTCATCCCAAGTGCCGGTGCCCACTTCCAACTTTAAACTGCACTTAGACACTGAGGGCTATGGGTGCAAGTGGGGTGGTGTGGTGGCATCAGCTGGCATAGGCCAGACGATGCCTGCACTGCCCGCTCACCACAGCCATGGAATACACCTCATCAACACTCGCTAACACCATATTGGAGTAGGTGGAGGGAGACTAGGGGTCTAAGCACACCTCTGTTGTCACTTGGCTTCCTGGGGCTGGAGGCCAGGAGGGAGATCCGGCCCTCCGGTTGGGGTCTGGGGTGGTGGATTGCTGTGCTCAGCGTTGGGCGGGGGAGCCTGCTCATCAGAACCCCAGCAGAAAGGGTCGAACTCTTGGAACCGGTAATGGTTGTACCCCATGTGCAGCAGTACCGGGACCAAAGTGAATAGGGTGTGTATGGGGAGCATGAGTGGGTGTCCGGCATGCATTTTTGAAAGTCTTTGGTTGTATGTGCATGTGTGAGCATGAGGGAGGGAATGTGTGACTGTGTTTGTGTACGACTGTACATGTCAGGTGGGGCCTTTGACTCCTCCCTTCTCCTGGGACTTCTTTTGGTGATATAGATCTTCGTCTCCCCTCTCCCTGCCACACCTGGTGTGGAGTGCGATGCCTTGGTCTGCCTGGGTCATGGCTCCTGGGTCAGGGAGTTTAAGATTTTTGGCATCTGCCTGACCAATCCCGGTGGCTGCCTGGTGAGGTCTGGGTCCCTGGGCTCTGCTGGGTCCCCAGCGGCGGTGGTCGCACCTCGGTCCCGGGTCATTGGGTCCCGGTCTCGGCTGGCTAGGGGGTGGGAGGCTGCGGGCGGGCCTGTGGGCTTGCCGCCGATATCTCCCGGGACTCTGCCGGCTGCTGGTTATGGCCCCCCGGGGCGATCCTCTGCGCCTCTCGAGGGGAGCAGGGGCTTTTCCGGTCGCAGTCTCACTGGAGTTCCTGTGCTCTGGGGCAACTCCTGGATCTCTGGGACTTGGAGCTCCCTCCGTCTCCTACACATCTTTAGGGAGCAGATCTGTGGCCCCTCACACTCTCTATTGGACGCTTCTATAGAGAAACCTTACATAAATAAGCGCGTGTACACACACAGGTGCTCACATGGTGCTCTCATAAGAATGGACTTGGGCACGTTCAACACAGGTCTTAAGGCTATGGTGGGCACTTAATGCACTGTGATTTGTTATCGTGTGACTGTTCAGTTAAACAACGTTGATTATATATTTCTTCAACAAGCTGACGCAGTGATAGCTTGATCTTGTTGTATTGTTGTTGTGTCCCAATTTTTTTGTTTTTTGCTTTTTTTTTCTTCTCTCTTTCTGCAGGTCTATAAGCAGATTCTTGTTCATTATTGTTTATTTTTGTGGAACACCCCCACCATCTTTTGTCTCTTCCTTTCTCTTTCACCTCTGTCTCCGTGTCTGGTCGGAATTAAAAAGCATTCAAAAACAACAATTAAGTTTTGAGTATCAGGCGTGACATTACAAGCAGACGCTTTGATGCTCCACCTGAGAGTAAATCTGTAAGGCTTGTTACCAGCATTCAGACATCAATTCTGTTTGCTTCACAGCCAGACAGGACACACACACACAAAAAAACAAAACAAAACAAAAAAAAAAACAAAAAAAAATACACCTCGGCTACAAGACCATGCAAACATTTCTTTCTGTGATCCAAATACATCTAAAACTACGAGTGTTCGGAAATCCCTCATCATGGTAAAATTTCATTTTACACACATTCTATCCACTCATTTTGAAGCTAAGGCCCTGCTAATTCTACACATGTATGTCCCTACACTCTAAACCAAAGCTTCACAGAGACAAAAGCCAGAGAACATCAAAAAACAGAATTTCCCCCCCCCCGCAGATCTTCAAAAGTTTCATATCATCGATGCTCATTTCATCCAAACTGCCTTATCAATAACTATTAACTCTACCTCCTTTGTCACACTGAAAACAGTTTAGATGGAAATCAAATAGCCTGTATTTTATATAGCGCCGTTTAGAATCCTGGAGCCCCCCAAGGTGCTTTACAACACAATCAGTCATTCACCCATTCACACATGCATTCACACCCTGGTAGTGATGAGCTACATTGTAGCCACAGCTGCCCTGGGGCGCACTGGCAGAGGCGAGTTTGCCGTACACAGGCACCACCGGTCCATCCGACCACCACCAGCAGGTGGGGTGGGTTAGCCCTCCCACTGTCCTAATGGGTGTGACCCTGTGAGGAACTTCCCTCGCAGGGTCACCCATAAAGACAGTGGGAGGGTTAAGTGTCCTGCCCAAGGACACAACAGCAACAGACTGCGCGGGGCTTGAACCTGCAACCTTCCAATTATGGGGCGAGCACTTGACTCCTGTTCCACCGTCAACCCCTCCCCCCCTTTCCGTTTCCTGGTTTGTGCTTGTCTGTTTTATGACAAGTGTCATTGGCTGACTAAGCTGTCAATCTAATTTTGGTGCGTAATGCTTCATTCTATTGGCCCTAACAATGCACAAGAACTGTCAATCATTTGAATTAACCAATCAGTCACAGAGGTAGAAGGCTGTGTAGTGTAGCTTCTGGAATAGCTCCAGCCTATGCCAGCAGCCCTTTTTTTTACGCATGATGCGTAGTCATGTGTATGGAAACACAATTTATTTATTTATTAAATTTTTAATGAAAAGAGCCTGAGTTTGTAATAATAATGTCCATGTCTATTGTTTGATTTGATTTAAAAATAGCTTAATTAATTAAAAATAGATTAATTAATTATAAAGACTTTAATTACTTAGATTAATATTTTTCAGCAAATCTCACCCCTAAGTCTTTTCTTTAAAAGTAGCTTCTAAAAGTATTTCATTATTATCTTTTTTCATTTACATTTTAATTCTGATGATGCTGTGGCTGCTGCCTGTGTCAGTTAAACAATTTCCCTTGAGAAATAATGAAGACCTATTTCTTAAAGTTAACGTTCATGTTTCAGAACCATGCTTTTTGCTACCGTTTTTCAGTGACTCATCAAACGTTTCTGCTGCTGCAAACACACACGGTCTGATAAGTGTTTCTTGGAAAAACTCTCCAACACACAGGAAGTGATACATTTCTTGTTTCCGTCAGCAGAAAACATCGGGGTTCTGGGAGCAAAAGAGCTGATTTTTGCCCTCACAAGAAGCCACGGCCTGCAGGGTGAATGCAGAAAAGTCACACTTTCAGAACAGAAAGGAGATAATAATAAACCAAAAAACTGCTCAGACAACCGGGGTTATTGTTTCTGTCACTCTCTGAGATGCAAATGGTGCCGTGACGTTTGCAGATTTGCTTAAAAAGAATCAGGTCACAGGTGGCTGACTTGCAGTGATATGTTGACACCACTTCAGATCATTTAATTAAAAGGTTAATGTGTGAGTTTAATTTCTGAGCAAATCATGGTTTTACTCACATCACCCTCATGTGGTTCTTTGGCTCAAGAGGGATCTCCAACACCTTAGTCCTGGTGATCATCCTCTCCAAGCTGGGAGTGGTGACAGTCTTCCCGGTGATGCGATGCACCTGGTAGAAGGCGTGAGGTTTCAGGATCTTCTCATCTGCTGTTCCGATGAAGACCTGCAGCCCCAGTGGATCCATGCCCTGGTACCCACGAAGCTAACAAAAGCAGCAAAACAATTAAAATAAACCGTTTCTGGGAAGTCATTCTGATTCGGATGATGATTTCACAAGCTAGCAAACTGGCAAAGCAAGAACTCTGATTTGCATAGTCTGATCATGTGGCGCTGCAAGAAACCCAACACAAATTATTTTTTAAAGGTATGGTCTATTCATCTAATCAATACATTTGCAGTGGTCTCTATTAGGAATGAATGCCTTGTAAGTCATTCTTGAGAGGGGGATATACCGGTGCACCATTTGTAGGAACTAGCAGGGACCCACATCACAACTAAGCTTCAGACGGTAGGTTTTGGAGCCTTATTTCCTGATATTTGGTCATCTCGCCTCAGATTGGATAACAACGACGTGGCTCTACCACTGCCTTTCCACGTAGATGTTTTGTCTCCACAAATAACACAAGCCAGCTGGAGCTTCTGATGTGTGGTGAAGTTGCTAATGCTAACGGTTAGGTTCTACTAGTCGATTATATTCTCTGCTGTTTCCTGCATGCTAAACCAACAAGAGCCTTCCCCATCGTGAGCCAAGATGGGTGAGTCCCAGTGACAGTGTGACGTAGATCTGTCATGATTTTTCACCGTCTAGTTTCAGTCAGAAGCTATGCAGGAGATAGGTGTAGGAGACTATTTTCATGTTCAGCCCGCATGAAAATTTCAGAATGACTGATTATAATCAGCAATAACCATAAAAAAAGAATTTTTAGTGAACCACACCTTTAACTCAATAAAGCGTTCAGTACAGAAGACCATTTGTTAAGATTTGTATGATGGAATTTTTCAGTTTTTCCTTGGTGTCTTTGTTTCAGCAGATTTGAACAATCTGCAACTTTGTCATCATCACTGAGGGAGAAGTGCAGTACGAGGCTCTTTTTCATTTGCATTACAGTCCCATCAACAATACATTAACCAGAAAATACCACCCATATCTACAACCTCACACTCCAATTTCTTTTCTTATTTATACACATAATTCAACACACCTGGACCTCGGGATGTCCTCCATTAGGCGTTTTCACGGCTCCTCGACTGCCCTCGGTCTCATAGTGAGCTCTGTGGTGGGATCGGGGCTGCTGATGGATCACAAGCTCATACTGGCCACTTTGACTAGGCAAAGCTCGCTCCAAGGAGGGAAGGGGAGCCATAGGGAGACCACTGAGGAAGAGGAGAGGATGAGAACATTTAAGCAAATATGAATAAAGAAACCTCACTGTTTGCTAATCTTGTAACAACTTATTGATAATGTATTAATAAGGACATAAGACAAACAAAACACCTGAATGTGGGTCTTTCAGCATGATGAACTGGTTGAGTGAGAGGCCACACAGCTGGAACCATGTAAAATGTCTCAGATTTGACCTCAGGTGCAAACCTGTTGGTCCTCTCGTGCTCACTGTCCCAGTCATACTCTGCATAAACACACTCCTGTCTTTGGGCTTGTGCAAGTGTGCATTTAACCCCTGCTGGATGCACTGTTCTGGAGAGGGTGGGGTTGAGGTTGCTCAGTATCTCCTCCAGAGCTTGCGGGGATGTCTGGGAAAGGGGCTGAAACTCAGGTTGGGCCTGATACTGTGGAGCGTAGTAAGACTGCTGGTTGTGGGGTGATGGGATGGGACTGGGGCTCCGGGAGCGCTGCTTGACAGGTGTGCCCCCCTGAAAGGTGTGGGCTGGATCAAACGAGCGCTTTCCTTTAGGTGAGGTGGAACGTGGGCGGTGGTGGGGAAGCGGTGAGGTGGAGCGTTGGTGATGAGGCTGGAGGAAGGTCTCATCGGTGATGCTGTTGCGAGGCGAGGTTCCTGGAGAGGAGTGGGCAGAGGAAGTGCGAATGTTCTGCAGACCGGGGCAGAGGTCCAGAGCAGGCAACGATGTGCCATAGTTGCCTCCATTTGGTGGCGAGACTCCAGGTGAAGTCTGGGGGGAACAAACATCAGCTGGCCAGCCTGTGGAGGAGTTACTGCTGGTGGGGCTGACACAGTCCCTGTAGGCTCCTAGAGCATTGGAGCCAGGGCTCAGCTCCAGAATTTTAGAGCTGAAAGAATCGCCCGACAGAGTGATCTCAATCCTGGGGCTGGGAGCAGGAATAGTGCTCGCCCTTGACGTCAGCCCTAGGGTTTCTGCAGCAAAATCTTGAGCACATGCATCTTGGTTTGGCAGCGGCTCTGCTAAGGTGGAGATGTAAGCAGCGTGATGGTCGACCACCAGCAGAGGAGGCTGGCTGTCATTCTGAAGGAGAGCCCCCGGGTCATCTGTCAGTCACCAAAGAAAGCATTCATCAAACTACAGAGCTTATAAACACTTTATTACAAATCAGATTCATTTATGGAAATTCATTTGAATAATTGTGCATATTTTCTTTGAGTAAATGCAAATATTTCGTTCACATGTTTCCAACTCCTAGCAGTGTAATTCAGACATTTAGCTCTAATTGTCTCATTTTAAACAAATCATAATCTGTATTTTAAATTAGAACTACATTATTTCAATATTAAGTATTTTTATACTTTAAACCCCAAAAATCCCATCAGCAAAATATTTTAATAAAGTATTTTATTTTATGTAATGAATGGATCTTTGACTTGATGTGTAAATTAAAATACTAGTGTATTCACCCATTTTCGAACGTCTTCCTGAGCAAATATATATATATATATATATATATATATATATATATATATATATAAGAGTGATTTTGTTCACACACCTTTGACGCAGCTTGTAGGGAAGTCTTCTCCGGCTGGATTGTACAGAAATAGGTCTGAGAAGTCCAGCTCCTGCTGGCTGATGTCCTGCCCAAGCCCCTCGTTAAGCCCCAAGCCTCCAGAAGTCATCTCCAGTTTTAAATCAGTGGATTTTCACCCCTCAAGAGTTCCTTTAAAGTACTTTTGTCCGCAAACACCTGTTAGGTATTGCGCACGGACCGGAAACATGAAATAAATGACGTGAATTACCCGCCTAAAGTCAGAGCAGCTGCTCAAATAAATCATTTAAAGAAAAAGAGCGAGCGCTTCCTGACAGCGACGACGACGACGATGATGATGATGATGATGATGATGATGATGATGCAGACAGGTGAACCTAGGCGTGTCTGTACGCGTGCAACCTCTTACTGTGTGTATGTATAGTTCACTTCAGCTGGTTCATTGTTTTACTGCAGCAAGGAGGACGTTTAGTGTTTCTCTAAAAGGAAACATCGATTTTTAGCATCTTTAAGCAATTTATTTACAGTTTTTACATCAGAATGTTCTATAATGTAGCAAGTTAGAAATAAAAACAAAACGAACAAAAATTTCTAAATGCGCGGCGGTTTCATCCAAATGTAATGCTTTAAAAAGTATTACAATCTAAGCTTGTTTTTTCTAACGTTCACGTGTCCCAAATAACAAGCAAATCTGTTCATAATGGTTGATGCTTACAGCTTTTTTCCACTGGGTGGCAGTATTGTACAACAGTAATGGTCAGGTGATCTAATTGAATTCTCTCTCACTCACTCACTCACTCACTCACTCACTCACTCACTCACTCACTCACTCACTCACTCACTCACCGACCCACTCACTCACCGACCCACTCACACACACACACACACACACACACACACACACACACACGTCTAATGAAACAGCTCCACAGTTGTACAGTGGTTAGCACTGTTGCCTTGCAGCAAGAAGGTATTTGGTTCAAATCCTGCCCTGGAGTCTTTCTACATGGAGTTTGCATATTCTCTTTCTGCACATATGTTAAACAGCTCTCTGGTCTTGGTCATGAAGAAGGTTAGAGCCTGATTGTTTGAAGGTGTGGAAAGGCGTCTTTAAAGGGAAACTAGATAGTTTTGGCTTGCTTTATAGCTCCCCTAGTGTCCGTTTGTAGAACAGAAAGAAAAACCTATCCCCTCGCTGTGCATTTGTCTTTTTAACACCTTAATCTAACAGCTGAAATGTCTCCTCAACCTTTCTTAGTGTGTACAGGAGTGATTCATGGCTAAATTAAACAAATCAACTGTGTTTATGATCTAAAACATGCAGCAAATGTGCTGGAAGCAGAATGCAGCGCCAGATATTTCAGCTCAATTTTTTGTACACACATAGTTATCGCGTGAACTCATGAGCGACGTTATGGAGATGTTCCACACGGTCTCCGCAGCTGGTGTAAATGGCAGTTCGTCTGAAAGCTGCACAGATTCCAGTCCTCATCTTCTCCACGCTCGGTGTAAATGAGCCTTTGTCCTGTGTGACCATCCTTTGCCTTGAAAACTGCATAGATTCTTCCAGGTACACTTGCACACAGTAGTTGAAGGACCTGGGTTCGTAGGTTGTTCCAAGCATCTGGGGAAATAATCACTGATTAAACCTCCTGGCTGGTCCTCGAACCAGACTGAAAACCAAAGGGGACAGGGCCTTTCAGACCATTGCACCCAGGCTTTGGAACAGTCTACCTTAAAATCTCCGTCTCTCTAACACTGTAGAGGTCTTTAAAAATCATCTAAAAACTCACCTTTTCATCCAGGCGTTCCCTCCCTAAATGTTCAAAAAGATGGTTTTGTTCAGGTTCACACCTTCACTTTGTTTATACTCATGATTTTATTTTCTACTTTATCACTGCTATTGTTTTTCTGATGTTTTTATTGGTTAGAGGTATTTGCCCTGATCTTTATCATGTACAGCGCTTTGTGATTTATATCTGTGAAAGGCGCTATATAAATAAACTTTTACTTACTTACTTACTTACTGATTTTCTGTGGATGTAGGCTTCCTCATATTCTTCTGTCTCCTTGTTGGGCTTAATCAGCCAGGGAACAGAGAAGAAATGCAGCAGCTGGTGGACTGGTGGACATCTAACAACCTGACACTGACCACCAATAAAAATAAAGAAATCATCACTGACCCTAGAAGAACATAGGTGGAACACCAGTCACTCACAATAAGTGGAGAGCAGCTTGAGATGGTGTTGCAGTTCACGTTCCTGGGCACAAACATATCAGAGGGCCTCACATGGACACACAACACCAAATGTCTGATAAAGAAGGCACAACAACAGCTATACTTCCCGGGGGCTCTCAGAAAGATCAGCCTGCCACTAAAACTGCTGGTGTGGATTTATCACTGCTCCATAGAGAGCGTCCTGACCAACAGCATCATGGTGTGGTACGGCAGAAGCTCTGCAGCTGACAAGACAACCCTGCAGAAAGTAATCAAAACTGCAGAGAAAATGACAAACACACACCTGTCTGCCCTGGATGATATCTTCACCACTGGCTGCCGTCGAAAAACCACAAAGATCCTAAAGGACTCAACCCTCCCTGCATCTTCAAACTTCTTCCTCTGGTAAACGACACAAGGCAATAATAAAAACACGCACCAGCAGGTTGTTAAAAAGCTTTTATGCTAGAGCCACCACTGAACTGAATGTTGTTGCTAGGAGGTCACACCAACAGTGACTCTGCTGGATGATTAGTGCACCACAGCACCTTTGCACTATGTTAGTTAACCCTTTACCTTTTACCCTCAACATGTGACATTCCATTTATGTTATGTTCACTTTATATTTCACTTTATAGTTTAGACTTGTCTTATTACCATGTTAACGTTATACTGAAAAAAACTAGCTGTGTGTGTGTGTGTGTGTGTGTGTGTGTGTGTGTGTGTGTGTGTGTGTGTGTGTGTGTGTGAGAGAGAGAGAGAGAGAGAGAGAGAGAGCATGTGCATTACTTCTATTTTAGCTTTGTTATTTCATTTTACTACCTCCTTATTTGAGCTCTTTATTGAGCGCAAAGTCAATTTCGTTGTACACCTGTGCAATGACAATAAAAGATCTTGAATCTCTCTTCTTGTAATCCCAGACACACTCCATGATGCTGATGTGAGGGCTCTGTGGGGGCCAGACCATCCCTTCCAGGACTTCTTTATACTGAAGGTAGATCCTAATAACTTTGGCTGGTTACTTGGGGTCACTCAGAGTTTTGTAAACCGGTTAAAAAATAAACAATGTTTATTCATAGTTCTCAAAGCTTTTTAAAGCTTTTGCACAGATAAACGATTAAGTTGCACAGGAACATCTAGTCATGTGGGATAATAGGGAAATCTCACAGCCTTGCAGGTAAAGGAAAAAGGAGAGAGAGAGTGGGGTGGGGGCTTCATACACTGATCATAAATTAAAACAAGTCTGATATAAAAATATTGAGTATTTGGGAAGCGAAACACAAAAACAGCGATAACAACAGATTTCGACTTCATGAGAACATTTTTAAGACAAAGATCCTCAAAGAAAAATAAATCAAACACATCAAAACCTGATTAAAGGATTACAGGATTTAGGAGGGATTTCTTAGCAGAAAGGTCAAGGCAACAAGCCAATACTGGGCACTTGTAATCCCAGAGGGCATCAAGTTTCATTCATCAATAGCTGATATAATCACTCTGGATTAGTTGGGAAAAACAGCCAAAATGCTGCACAATAGCTTCATAATTCAGTATGTTTTTTCCCCTAGTGTCAGAAACACGATCTTGTTAAATGTGTTTTCAGGGCATTAAATGCTAAAAGTTATTTACAAACTTAATGCACTCAGATGTTGCAAACCTTATAAAACCTCTGCCTGCTGTGACCCATAAATATCCATGCTCTTTGATTTTTACAACATATTTTTTCCTCCACAATTTGGATTTGCACTAATAAGTAAACAAGATAAATTTTGTCATCTCTAATCACTAATCTTGTCAATGTTTTTCCCTTCACTGGTTTCACATCCATTAAGGCCTCTTGAACTTGACTGTTGTTCAGCGACATGTGAGATCATCACATGGAGGTCAAGTGAGTCCTACTGATTAAGATGTGAACTTCTGTCATGGGCAAAACAAAGAACATGATTTATCCAGTAGATTAATCTGGAGCTGTTATACAATAGTCTTATTCCACCATTCAGAATAGAAAATACAACTTTATTTACAGTCAGGAAAAACCTCACTAGGGAGGCATCCAGGAGGCATCCTAACCAGACGCCCGAGCCACTTCAACTGGCTCCTCTCAATGTGGAGGAGTAGCGGGTCTACTCAGAGCCCCTCCTGGATGAGCGAGCTTCTCACCCTATCTCTAAGGGAGAGACCAGACGCCCTGCAGAGAAAACTCATTTTGGCTGCTTGTATCTGCGATCTCGTTCTTTCAATTACTACCTAAAGCTCGTGACCATATGAGGGTAGGAACTTAGATCGACCAATAAATCAAGATCTCCGCAGACTGATTCAAATAATAAAACTGCATCTTACATTCAGTGAAAATTAACATGACATTGAATTATCTGTGAATAAATGTTCCTGAGGTCAGTGTCCTTATTTCACCGGGCCTCACGTGTTGCACGGCTCTGCTGTGGTTGGAGGGACTTGTTTTCTATTTCTTAATTCTTAAAAAAATGTTAAAGTGTTTAATCTCTAAAATCTGAGATTTTTTTCAGGTTTCATTTTTGACCTCAGTTGTACTTTTCATACCTAATGACCACAACATTTGAGCTCATAAACTCAGACCTTATTAACTCCAGTATACAGTACATGCAGACTGACTGGACTGAGCAACATGTTTATGAGGTTTTAGGATTAGGTGAGTACAGTACGGTCAGACTGACCTGAAATGACCGTGAACAACAACGCTGAAGTGGAATTAGTATCAGAATAATCTGTCTCCTAAAAAAGACCACATTGACCCATGAAACAGCTTTTATCTCAATTCACAGCATGAGCAGCTTGCATAAGAAGGCCTGTTTTGTTATGTGGCTGCAAAATTGCAGTGTGAGTAGGAGATTTAGCTAATTCTATCCATGATTTTAAACCATGAAGCATCCTCATGGATCTTTAAGGTCAAAGTCCTTTACAAATGTCAAGGCTGTAGTTTTGTTTCTGTGGACTCCAAATGAAAAATGTTATATTCATAGGAAACAATGTAAGGTTTCATTTTATTTTCTTATATTTTCTCAATCAAGAGCATGATGTTTAATGTGCTTTATAAAAAAGCTTTATCAACATGACTTTCAAGCTTTTAAGGTCAAATTTACTCATTTTAATACATTTACAGTGGTCTCTTGTAGGAATGAATGCCTTGTAAGTTGTTCTCTGGGGAAACAAAAGCTTCTGTGCGCATTGAATTTGGATGGAGGACAATGGCCCAATCTCAATACTTGCACTTGCACCCTTGCCCCCTTCAATTGCGCGTTCCCGGCCAGGGGTGCAAGTGTGTAGGGTGTCCCGGATCCCAAGTGAAGAAGTTGACCACGCCCCCATGTCACCCTTAATCTGCACTTAACCCAAGTTGGCAGCGATGCAGACCTCGGGCAAGGGTATTACCCACAAGTCATTGCTGCGGGGGAAATGGCCCAAGTTCCTTTTCTGACAATATGTATTTTCTGATTAAATTAGTTAATTTTAGGATAATTAGTTGATGCTCTGAATGTTTTAGACAAAGCAGCAATGAAGTTAATTTTATTTTAAATAATTGCATTATTGTTTGTTTGAAAATTGTTAATAAAGGTTTTTGAAAAAAGTTTCACAGCAACCAGCATTCCGGTATGCGTTGCGATCGATGACGCAATGCTCCCTGTCTCAATTCGGCAATTATTTGCACACTTGTGTACTACACACTTGAACCCTACTGCACACTTTCTCCAAGTGCAATTTGCTGAAGATCTTAGGGTGCAGTGCGAGTGTTGGGATTGGTCCAGAGACTAGCTTCAAAGACAGGATTTGAAGTCTTATTTCCTGATAGTTGGACATCTCACCTCTGACTGGCTAACAGCAACACAACTCTACGACTAACTCCGTTTACTCTATAACGTTGATATTTTATCTCTGCAAATAACACAAGTTTGGAGATGCTCTTCCGTTTAGTGGAGCTGCTAATGCTAACTGTTAGCTTCCACTAGTTGAGACATTCCTTGCTAGTTCCTGAATGCTAAAACAGCCTTCCCCATTGCAAGCCAAGGTGGGTGTGTCAGTGAATGTTAAGTGACAGTGTAAGATAGATCTGTCAAGCTTTTCAAATCCTAGCGTTAACTCAGAGTGACCAATTATAATCAAAAATATTTAAAATTGGCTTTTCAATGAATTCGAGACCATGGTCTTTGGAAAAGGGTAGAATGCCTTTTTCCAGGTCAGGGATGAGATCCTGCCTCAACTAGAGGTGTTTAAGTATCTTGGGGTCTTGTTCCAAAATTAGTTTGTAGGGTGTCTGGATGGAGTGACAGAAGCTTGATCATCTGGGAGGGACTCAGAGTAGATCCGCTGCTCCTCCACAACAAGAGGAGCCAGTTAAGGTGGCTTGGCCATCTGTTTAGGATGCCTCCATGATGAGTGGTTCCGGGCACATCCAACAGGGAGGACACCCAAAGGAAGACCCAGGACTGTTAAAAGAGGGACTTTTCCTCTCCACTGTCACTACGTGCATGCTTAGTATGAGGACTGCTTTAAGGACACCAACATTATCAGTGGCTCGTTGCAGTCAGAGTTTTCTTACATAGGAAACTTAATTGGCATAAACTGAACTCAACAGGAATGTTTCACTTTGTGAAGTGCATTGAGACAAATAGTCATGATTTGGAGCTATATAAACAAACTGAATTGAATAACAGCAATAGTTGAACAAAATTTCCTCACTCTAAAAATATATTACAATATCCATTAGGTTATCTTATTGCCGGCTTATGTTGTATTTGATTTGGAATTATTTTAAAGTTAAAAAGCAAAAAGTAAAAAAATTGAATTTCATGAAATGCATGAAAATCTGAGACTTTAAGTTAACATAAAAGCAAAAGCAAAAAAACAAAACAAGTTCAGTTATGACACATTTATTAATTTATTAAAGTGAATAAAATAATGTGCATTGATACAATAGTTATAATAATTTATATACACAAGATAAAAATTACACACATGAAAACTAGGCTCAAATATATGTACAAAAGTTAGGAATAATACAAGGAAATCAACATTTAAATCTACATGGCTAAATATACACACATATGCATTTAAAACAGCTGCCTTGGTACTTTGTACCCAACAACTGGGGCTTGGGACAGTCATGAAACACTATGCACATTAGTTTTAAATACGTTTGAGGTATTTATGGCACAATCATAATCATTTCAGTCTCTTTATGTACAGAGCAGCAATTCAGGGAGTCACTGGTACCAGGAACACGGCAACAGAGGTATCATCTTTCTGTCACTACACCCAGAAGAGTTAAACATAAAAACCTTTAAAAAAAAAAAAGAAAAGAGAAGGAGAACATTAGCTTTCAAGTTCTTTTTAAAAAACACAAAGTCCCACAATCTGTTACAAGGCTGAGCAGTGAAATTTTAAAGGCCTGGGGCCTCATTTATCAAGCTTGCTTAAGCACAAAACGGGGTCAGAAAACTGCGTAAGCAACTTTCCACGCAAACCTGGGGATTTATGAAAGAAAACTTAATGGAAAAAACCTGGCTTACGCACATTTTGGACATAGAGAGCACCTGCCGTGCTGCTGCTGAGAAGGATACAATTATGAATTCCAGCAGCATTATCACTTGTACCACTTTGTGTGCACACAAAACAAGTGTGGGCGTGGTGAGGGCAGGATGTGACTAAAAAGCAGCTGAGAAACATTCTCGTTAGTCTGATTTATGAAGCGGAGATTGCATGCAGCTGTGCGTACTCCATGTTTGATAGATCACAAACCTACTTGACGTAAGTACTTTTTTGCTGAGCTTAAGTACGGTTTTAGTAAGGATTCTACGCAATGTTTGATAAATGAGACCCCTAATCTGTTTACTTTTAAATGATTTAGAAATGATCACAAAAACAAGATTCTTTTCAGGAAAGCCCCCTGTGGTTAGTAGTGGTATTGCACTTTAAGGACCATCTTACATGTTAATCTATCACATCTCCAAAGCATGTTCAATTGAGTAAATAGATTTTTAAGAGTCTTTCGAGTTTAAATAGCCCTAATTTAGCTTTCATAAAACATCTGTCCTTTACCTCATCTTTTGATGAAGGCAACTGGCAGCTCTCTGTTGGGAACCAAAAGTCCTGAATGAATCACATCAAGTGGCTCATTATCCGTTGCCACGATTTCGTAGTCTCTGACCAACTGCAAGAGTGGAAAACAAAATATTTGATCCATGCAATGTTGCAAAATCAGACCCCTCCAAGATTGAAAGTGAACATACCCAGCACATGGCCAGCTGCAGCTGCAGCTCTGCCAGCCTCCGACCAATGCACATCCTCTTGCCAATACCAAACGGGACGTGGGAGAAGGGGTTGATGGTGCAGCTCCCCCGCAACCACCGCTCAGGTTTAAACTGCTTTCCATCATCAAAGTATTCCTCGTTGGACCCCAGTGCATGGCTGTTGATCATTAACACTGTCTGCAATAGACAAAAATAAGTTTTTTTTTAATTTTTGTAGCGATTTAGTAGAAATATGCGTTAGCTAAAGCTCATGTTGCCATGACAAACATGCCCATTCAGATTTAATGTCTGAGAGGGACTTTGAGGTACATTTCAGACTTTGATCAAATGTAAATTTATACAATAATGTCATCTCCTGTCATGTGGACAAAGAAGTAATCCACTCACCCCTTTGGGAATGGTATAATCTCCCAACTCTGTGTCTTTGTCCATGGTCCTGCTGGTGAATGGGACTGATGGGGATAACCTATGAAACACATCACAAAAACACACATGAGAATATGACCTATACATCAAAAATGTCTAAGCTGGTTAACAGAAGCCAGACACAAATGGTGCTTCATGAGGTGTGATAATCTCCAGTCAGAGACTCTTTACATTCCCTGTGATGTGGTGCTCACCCTACATAAACGTGTTTGACAGCTCTCGTGACTCCACAAGAAGATGGGAGAATGTGTGTATGGGACAAAGGCAGGGAAACCACTTCAGCATGGTGAACTTTAAGCTGGGACCACTGGTTGTTGGTAGTCACACCACCACGTTGTCTAAAGCTTATTTTTGAGGCAATCATGTGTGAGATTCCCCCCTTAATCTCTGTAGTACTGGTGAGAATCGCTATGATCCCAGTGAGCGATTAGACTCTGTTGTATGTATGACCATTTTCAAACTGATCCCTTGATCATGGACCTGAGCAGCACACTAAAGCTGTTCAGTTCAGTAGCTCTTTTTATAAGACACACCATGCCAGCAAATCAGCGTAATATTACCGCAATGTCTATAAACGCGCCATGCCGGCATGGCGTTGTGCAAATTTTGCGGCATTCGTTCCACCTCGTTTGGTAGTAATATTGCAGTAATGGTCTGTCGTATGCGCCCTGGCGCAACAGGGGCAGATGTCATGATGACGTGGGGAGTTATTGCTGAGCTCCGGCTGGCAAATATATTCAAAATGAATGTAAACGCAGGCAATAAGGTTTGCTTTTTTAACAAAATCAGCTGAGATGGAAAACTGGAGCGCCGCAGCGCTCCACGAGCCTCTCTGTTAGAGCTGAAGCTCAGATCACCAGAGACTGCACAGGGACTGATGGGTACAGACACCTTTAGGAGTGGCTTGTTTAAAAAAAAAAAAAAAAACTTAACGATCACGGCTTCAAACGCAATAAAAAGCAAGTTATGTCCAAGATAAACACAGAAGTAAGTGGCAGCGCACAGACCGCCCCCATACCCCCTTTACGCCGCCATCACCTAATCTTTTATGAAACTGCCATGATTGCGCCACATTACCGCCATGGTCTGATCTTATAAACGACCTTTATCCTCCCCAGGGAGCCGCGGCAAATCCCGTTTTGCAAACGCTATGGTCCTGTAAAAACAGCTAGTGTGACTCCTCCATTTGTGATCATGTGTGTTTTGACATTTCCAGGACAAAGTGGGGAACATGTGGAAGACAATGATGTATGAACATTTTTATCCAGTGAGACCTTCCATCATCGGACTGTGTTTGCTCTCAATGCAGCATGACAGTGTTATACTGTACCTCATAGACTCCTTGAGGCAGGCCTTGAGGTAGGGCATCCTTTTGATGTGCTCCCCAGAAGGGTCCTGACAGGGAGACACCACCTCTCTGATCTCCTGCAGCAGCTTCTTCTGAGCGCCAGGGTTACGGGACAGGTTGAAAATAAACCACAGCATGCTGTTGGCAGTCTGTACACACAGCAAGAGAAGAAAATTAGCATGGAGCAAAGAGGGGTGACATCACTTTTGAGAAGCAGCTACTTCAAGTGAGTTCCTCAGAGGGGTCCCAAAAGGGAGCCGAGGAATGTCCAGGCTTCCTCCATTACATCCACCAATTTATTTCCTGCTTTTGGAGTACAGTAACTGTAGTGGCTGCTTATTTTGAGGTTTAACAGTTCTTTTCCTCCCTTGAGAACTTAAACTAGGTGAAAGGTAAAACTTATGTTCATAAAATATATCAAGGTTTCCCTTTAAATGGTCATTTTAACCAAGTGCTTTAAAGAAATAATTTTAAAGCCAATTTTTCAGCAGTGTTAGCAGAGAATAGGAATAAAAAGCCAATCCAAATGGTTTTATATTTTTGTTGTTTTCATTAAGTTATTCTACGTAGTCTTGGTTGGAAACATCCATCCATGTGCCACATCACCTACATTAGAATGGGCTCTGTGGAAACCACTTCTTACCGTTTCAACTCCTCCGACCTGCAGCTCGGTGATGGCTGCGTACAACTCTTTCTTGGAGAGGGAGCTCTGGTGCAGGATGTCACCGATTAAATCATCAGGATCTCTGCTGGAATTCCTTTTCAGCTTCTTGTCGATGTAGACTTTGGCTGAAAGAAACAAATTGATCTGTGTGTGAGCATACCGATTTACACACAGTAGCTAACATTTTCAACCTTTTTTTTATTAAATCAGATATTTCTTCCACTTTGCTGGATGTACAAGGTACCAGTAACTAGTAACAGGCTAGTTTTTAAAATATTTTCTCCCATATTCTTCTGATCTCAGACCAGTCAAAATAGATAAAAATTATTTAAATATGAGCTACATCTGTGTGTGAAACTCACTGATGAGGGATAAGAGTTTAAGTACCCTTTAAAGTCCTGCTAGTAGAAATCTTTGGCACATTTCTCAGGTCAGGCAGTTTACTACAACTGTGAACTATTATTTACTCAGAGCCAAGTCCACAAAACACAAAGGCAGCCGGTTCAGATCGAACTGCCCACCCACGCTCTTATTTTCCTGTCCAACATCAGACTAGAAGTGACCTTAAACTGGTTGTTGCGCCAGGGAATAGTAGAGAAAAACAGATGAGTGAAACTAGAATAACAGCTTGCTGTTTGGGCTGGGCTAATTTGTTTGTGTGGTGGAGCACAAAGTGGAGAGCTGTGTTTGTACCTGTGCTGAATATGCGGTCCCATGCAGCGGTGTGGTCCTTCCACGTTTTGGTGTTGAATCCCTTGTGCAGCTTCACTGGTATGACCATCATCATACCAAATGTGCTCATCATCTAGAAATGATCAAAAGATTCACAAGAGAGTTGCCATCAGAATCATGAGAATTCGCCAGCCTGATCCTTTTTCTGTGCCTTCTGCTTTTTTTGAATTTATTATTTATTTATTTATTTATTTATTTAATTAATTAATTAATTTATTTATTTCTACATACTGAAAGCTTCTACTTTTCACAGTTTCACTAAAAAGTCAAAATTTCACTTCAGTAAATCTCAAATCTTTTAAAAATTGTGATTTGGATGAAATCTGACCTTCCAGTAGAAAGTCAGCTTCCTGCAGCTGACAAACATTACTCACCGTTTTCACAGCTGTGATGAAGTTCATGGCTTCCTCGTTGACCTCCTCCTGCAGCAGACCAAATCTCTTGCCATACAAGATGAGACAGATGGCTGAGTGGGGAAAAGAAGCACGCTTAAGTCAGCTGAAATCTTTTATTCGATTAAAAACAGATCTTGCGTAATCATTTAGATTTTGCAGGGTATAAATGTATCACTTTAGGTGAAAAATGACAATTTCTCAGACTTTGTTGAGAACAGATTTTAGACAATATAAATATGTTGGTTGTTCAAATTGTGTCATTTCCCGCTTTTGTCTCTAATGACATGATTTAAGTCTGTCTAAATAACATTTAGCCGAATCCGTAATAAAAAAAAAACTGGTGTGAATGAAGAAACAGCTGTACTCACTCTCAAACGACCATTTGTTCAGTTCGAAGTACAAGTCCTCAATCTTCCCATTAACGTTTATTTTTCCGATTCTGGCCACCATGTCCTTCAAGACCTGTTTTCACAAACCCGACAGGATCAATCTACTTAAAAGGAACTAAAATAAAACCAGAAAATAAACGTTAAGTGTTTCAGAGCCTCACCTGGTTTATTTTACCATCAAGTTTCACCACCTCAGTCGGCTTCATGAGTTTCTGCTGAAACGCGCTCCTCACTCTCTGCCAGTCTTTCCCCTCTCTGCAAACAGCGTGAAATCCTCCTTCAGCGTGGTTTTTTCAGTGCAACACATTTGCGCAGGTTTTTAAGATGCGTCCTAATTTGCACAGAGGAAAGTGCGAAACGAGGGATGCAAAGCCAACTTACAGAATGAGGAGTCCATACGCCTCGTTCCTCAGGTCTCTGTATGCTTTCCAGGGTTTTATCTCCAGCCTCTGAGGGTAACGTCCCTCCTTTCTGTAGAGCGCCTCCAGCAAGCAGGGAGCGCCAATGTTCACAGACTCAAAAGATCCCAGCTTCATCCGGAAAATCTTCCCAAACTTCTTGTGATAATCCACCTGAAAATGAACGAACAACAAATGTATCAGATGAGTCTAATGAAACGCGTTTTCCTTATACTACAATTATTTGCGCTTGAGGCATGAGCGTTATTAATGATAAGATAAAAATAAATAAATAAAAACATACCAGTGCTTCATGTTGTCTCCTCAGCCCTCCTTTGCGCAGGAGCTCAACCATACTGCCGACCAGGGGCCAGTTGGTGGGACCCGGCATCGAGTCCAAGCTGTGCGCCCTAGAGGCGGTGTGGGGGCACGGCGCAGCCTCCACAGCATCCTTTTGCTCCCACACGCACACTGAGGATGTTGGCTTGAAGTGCTGCAGCCCCACAGTCTTCTTCTTCAGCAGCTCAATGATCTGAGGAACTTTTTGGATCTGCGCCCTCATCCTCAAATCTGGCTCTTTGAAGTAAAAACCTAATGTTTAACAGCGGCTCTTCTTTATTAGGCTTTCTAAGAGGCTCTTCTCGTTTCTTGGAACTGTCACACTTTACTGCATTATATACCCTGAGACTGTTTATTCCTGCCAGCAATGAGCCAATCAGGGACCGGTCCTTCATGGTGTGGCTGTCGAGCCCACCATTCATTTATGGATCCACGTTGAGAGGATCGTATGACCCCAGATAGAACGTGGAAATGCCCTCGCCCCCCTCACTTAAAAAACAAACAAACATACACGGCTGCAGCTGAGGTGACGCGGTTCGCTTGAACCGACCTGCGATTAACCGAAACGCTAAGCAAACACTACTGCCACACTTCTGCACCGGACAAATATTTGACCGACTGCTGTCCTTCTGTTGATTTTATTTTTTGTACGAGAGATTTTGGAACTTTTAAGGGACGTTCTCCCTAAATCCACAAGTTTCTAGATCATTCTTTTTGCCTAATGGCTTGTCCATTGGGACATTCAAATTTGATTGTATAAAATAAAAATTTTATTTTAAAAACTGGTCCAATTTTTCACCAAGATAGAAATGACATATTTACTAATACACCCATTTGGCCAAAATGTCCAGAGCCACTTTTCTAGGTGTGTTCTTGCTGTGTCGTATCTCTAATTCCATGCTGTAGTTTTTTTTTAAACACAGAGCCGTTTTGTTTACCTGTTTTCCCACTACGTTTCGTTGCGGCAGGCGTGTCAGCCTGAGGAAGTTTTGCAGCCACAAACGAAACGTAGCGGGAAAACAGGTAAACAAAACTGCTCTGTGTTTTAAAAAAGAACTACAGCATGGAATGTCCAGAGCCAAATCAGCCCTGCTCAGTTAATCCCATTGCACCTGCTAATACCACACATACCTTAGAGCTGCCATGACTCAAACGTGTGCAGAAACATGTTTTCACTCTCTAAAAGTGCACATACAGATTCAGGTGGCACCAGAAAAACATTGAGCTATATCAATTCTGCTGTTTTGCGCACGCACACACACACACACACACACACACACACACACAAAGAACAAGGGAATAAACAAATAAGAAAACACCCACACACCTACACACAGTGTTCCTTTGCACTCCTTTCAGTGCTACCCAGTATCATATTACATTAGGCAGTTTTAGCTATATACTCCATGTCTCATTTTATGTTAAGACATTCAAAAATCAGCCACAAGAGAACCTTTCCCCGCAAAATGTTGGGAAATGCTGTCTGATGAGAAGATCAATAACACTCTTACAAAAAAAAATCCCCAAGAGCTAGACTGGAAAACAAGTGGGAAACAGCCTGCGTCTGTCCGAACCAAAATTCTGGAACTTATCTCTGACAATTACCTAACAGCCCTTTCACATTAGATAACCCCCCTCCTCCAAACATCAATCAGGAAAGTGTGTAGCCGTCACCGAGTTCAGCTTCAGATGACTCATCACAGTATTTTCTAGCTCCTATTTGTGAAGAGGAAAACTCGATACCCCCAGAAAAGTTCAGCAGCAAAACTGACACTTCATAAATATACATATAATAAAAACACTTACATAACTGAGTTGATTACTGTTAGCTTGGTGGGATTATCCAAGTTTACCACAGACCTATTGTTAATCTTAACTGAAGCTTTTCTTGCTTTCAAGTCTTAGCTTAAACTTTTTCTGATAATGAGTTTGTTTTTAAACTTCATGCAGTTGGTGTTAATCTGTTTCTCATCACCTGTGTCCAGTTGCTGCTTTGGCACACCTGAGTTAAATAAATGAGTCACAAGGATACAATTCAGCCGTCTGAATCAGGTGTGTTGGAGCAGTGAGCTGCTTAAGGCATACAACATAATGGAAGCTTTGGGGTTTGACGCCCTGAGAGTAAGGCATTTAGGTTGGTACATTTTGCAATCATGAAATCATTTCATGCATTTTTCAGCAAAACAAAGAAGTTTTCATTTTAGGAAATTCAAACATATTAAAATGTACTTTCTCTGAGCACCTTTGATCTTTTAAAAGGATGCATGGATTCTTACAGAGATAATATTTTCTAACTTGCTAACATGATTGTGCACCTTAGCCTTGCAGACCATAGCTGCACCACATTGGGTTGATTGGTAGAAGCCTGCTAAAAATGTGATCACCGTCATCATCATTTTATTTCTATCGCAGCTTCCACTACCTTTTTTTCAGTTGCCCAAGATTCTGTATATTACATGATAAAATTAGGCTAAAACATAGTAAAAAGGATGTAATTAAGGATGTCATTAAAAACAAGCAAATAAAGTTTTTCAATGTAAAAGCAATTGTCTAAATGATATTACGTCTTTTCCTGAAATTAATGCAGAAGGGATTGTGTTATGTGTGTACTCACCTGACCTCTCCAGGGAGTTCTGGTGATTTCTTCCTCAGAGCTCCAAACGTTGTTTAAATGATCTGGTAGAAGCCGGAAGTGTGTGTCGGATAACGTTTAGATGTTTGGAAGTAAATACATTAGTAAATTTAATTATGTTCATTATTAAATCTGAGATCATGGTATTGAGTCGGAAAAGGATAGAATGACCCAGGACACGCAGAAGGGGCAATGTTTCTTGGCTGTCCAGGAAATGCCCGGGGATTCCCCTAGAGGAGCTGGCCCAAGTGGCTGGGGAGAGGGAAGTCAGGGCCTCCCTGCAGAAAAAAATGGATGGATGGATTGATAATTAACACACAAAATGGTGTTGAAATTGTCACAGAAATCTTTGCAATAAGTTTAATTAAAGGAATGTAGATTTTCCATTTCGCACTATTGAATTCAATTGGATTAATTTTTTTTCCTGTCATCTTGTGGCGATTGAACAGTAAATGGTGAATATATTCGATGTAACGTTTTCAAGGGTTCTACAACCCCATTCACTCAGGCATGCTCACATTCACACGCTGGTGGTGATGATCTACATTGTGGCCACAGCACATACACGAGTGCCACCGGCCCCCCCAAACACCACCAGGAAAGGTGATGTGTCTTGCAGGTTGTACAGAAATTGGAAGGTTGTATCAACCCCGGCTCCCACTGTTGTGTCCTTGGGCAAGACACTTAACCCACCTTGCCTGCAGGTGGTCAGAGGGACCAGTGGCGCCAGTGTTCAGCAGCCTTGCTTCTACCAGTGTGCCCCAGGGCAGCTGTAGCTACAAAGTAGCTCATCATCACCAGCGTGTGATTGCATGCGTGTGTGGGTGAATGACTAATTGTGTTGTGAAGTGCCTTGGGGGGTTGTAGAAACTCAGAAAGTGCAATGCAAATACAGACCATTTACCATTTTACCACATTTGGTCATGTTGGGTGATTATGTTCCAGTCTTTGTGGTCTTGTTTCCCAGCCAAGTGTGTAGGGGACTATATTCTCCACACTGTGATGCCTCCCTGCTCATCGATACCTATCAATACCACACATCTTCTGTAGCTCTGTATTAAAATTGGCATTGCCAAACACACGCTAATACTGTTGAACCAACCTTTTGTCTTAGCAATTGTACTGGTTGTAAGAAGTCACCTCCATTTTGAAACTCTCTGCAAGTTTGGTGATGCGCTACTGTCCCATCTCTTTTCTGCCTACCAGGAGGATAAAGGCTTCCTGGTACCCCTTTGAGAATCTCTCGTTTATCTTGCTGAGATGCTCTTATTTGTTTGAAGAGCTACTAGATACCAGAACATCAAGACGTTTTGAGTTATGCATCCCAAATGTGGACTTCGAATTGGCTGTAGGAACTTGAATGTCAACTTTGGTTGACACTAAATCCCATGTCTTGATACATTTGAGAATGTGGTCTCTTTTAGATACATTGAACCAAAGCACACTGTCTTTGATTCCAGAAGACAGGCTGCTGACTGCCTTCAAGACTTCTTAAAGGTACGGGTTTAAAGTCGTAACATCGATGGGTGCCAGAAACATTTAAATGGTACCTTCAGGAACCGGTTTGATTTGACATCAACCATATTTGGATTAGGAATAATGATCAAATATGAAGTTGGGAAAATGGAAGGATTCGGGCATTTCCTGAAAGCAGCACAGTCATACCATGTCTGGCAGAAAGGTCAGCTGTACTGAACGACCTGATCAAGGGGTCACCCTCCAAACATGATTTTAACGAGCTAATGGACAGACAAGGTAGTAGACTCAGCCTCTGAAAGGAGTGTTTGATGAAGTAGGCCACTGAGTCTGTCAGAAATCAGATGGGAAAGGATTGCATTCTGGTGACTCACCTTTGTCATCAAGCTGTTAAAACACACGAGGCACCAAAACCTGCATTTCTGAATGTTGCCCTGCAGCCTCATGACTTCATTGTTGAAAAATGTTGAGTAGCATCAGATCGAGAAAACATAGGTGCTTTGCTGGTGTAGGATTAGGGGGAAGGAATGTAACGTAGGTCTTTGTTCTAGATTATTTAATCAAAATTAGATCTAAAGAAAAACATCAACCAAAGTTCAAGTGTTTTACCAGACATCAAATTAATTTAAAGAAAATAAAAAATCTGTGTCTGCTTTGCACTTCCTTTCACCACCTTTGTAGTTTAAGTAAAAACACAATTCCTTCAGTTTATATCATACACCTATGCACAGATTTACACACGCAGTCTTTTAATAATATACTTTTTATAAATTAGCATATAGGGTGGTTAGCTGTTCCATATTGGATTAATCAACGCCTGTCAAAAGAAAAACAAATGATTAAAATGTAAAAGTAAAAGTTTACTGTTCAGTTACATACAAATGTATGATTTGAATCTTTATTAGTTTTCTTACTTACCATCTGGGTGCTCATCTGTTTGGTATTAACATAAAAGCTTCTCTGTTCACTGATCATTACATAAAAGTTCTGCAGAGGACAAAAGATGAAAGGATGGGCGTGATTTACATTTATGATCGAAGTGTTTGATAAATAGTTTTTGCATGTATATTAATAGTTTAGTTAGTGGCTGAATACATAAAATCACATAAATTATAAGCATTTTTGTAATGTTAGTAATATTTGGTTTGTGAAACTGTATTACTACAAACTTGTCTAATGATGTTTATAGCAAACATAAAAAGTCAAAAATGTGCTATTCAATGTGTGTGTGTGTGTGTGTGTGTGTGTGTGTGTTTTTGGCAGACAATCCTATGATTTTTGTGTTAATTGTGTTGATCAGTAACACATTTAGTTTGACTCAGTGGACCTTTTGTTACAATAGATTTCAGAAAATAACCAGTTTTTTTAAAGAAAAGTCAAATTCATAAAAGATATTTTTTCCAAAGTAATTTTATTTTAATAAATATTTCTTAAAAAAACATACGAACTCAAATATTACCTAAAGCTTTGCACCAAACCCACAAATATCTTAAAACGAAATGTAACAACATTTTACACGATGAGTCTAAATTGTTGCTGATTTCAGAAATAAAATACCAATGATTACAGGAGATTTAAAATTAAATAAAGACCATTACTTTGGACTTAGGCTGACCAGTCACTGTGCCACGGACCGCTGGCACCAAGCAGCATGTAAGTAACAGATAAAACATGTTTTCTCATCATGTTCTTTATATGCAAACAGAACCAAACAACATGCATCTCTGTGGCCTCGAGCAAATTAAGAAACCACGGCGGTTATCGCAATCGATTATGTTGCTTGTGTATTTGGTTGGGGGCGACAGTGACTCAGGGGTTAGGAGTTTGCCTTGCAACTGGTGAGTTGCCGGTTAGAACCCAGACTCTGTCCAAGTCAGTCGTTGTGTCCTTGGCCAAAGCACCTAACCCACATTGCCCAGAGGGACCGGTGGCAGCTGTGCACAGCAGTCTTGCCTCTGTTAGTGTGCTACAGAGCAGCTGTGGCCACATTGTAGCTCATCACCACCAGCGTGTGAATGGATGAAGAACTGACTGTAGTATAAAGCGCTTTGGAGCCTTCTGACTCAGAAACACATATACAGATGCAGGTCATTTATCATTTGATTGGTTAAAATTTTTGTAGGAATGAAAACACAAACTGTCAAAGTGATTGTGGAAGGATGTGATACTAGTTTACTGAATACATTGTACAAACGTCTTTCTGTAATAATCACATTTAATACGAAACCAACACAAGATTAGATTTATAGTGTTAAAGTTATTTTTAGCCAATAATTGATTTTTCTGTTAATCTGATTGTGAATGACAAATGACCCACACTGCCTTTTAGTCAGAGGGCTCCAAAGCGCATTAACCTACAGTGTATGATTCACCCATTCACACACACACACTGATAGTGATGATGAGCTGTAATGTTGCCACAGCTGCCAAGGGGCACACTGACGGAGGAGAGGCTGCAGAGCACCAGCACTACCAGTCCCTAAGACCACCATCAGCAGGCAGGTGTCTTGCTCAAGGACACAACAGCAGCATTCTCTGCTGGGAACCTGGATCGATTTTGTTGCCTTCAGATTACTGGAAACCCCGCTCTGCCTCTTGAGCTACTAAAGCATTTTGCACCTCTTGTTGAAATCCCGATTTGCAACCCACTGACCCCTCCACTTTTTAGATATATTGATTACAGTGAGGGTCAATGTGGGCTCTTTGGTGCAATGAGATTTCAAAGGACTTGGTATTCTGAGCATCAGCAAGCAGCCTCGAGA